TTGGCAGTATTTTGCACAAATAATTACACATGTAAATGCAGGACCACCGTGCAGGAAGAAGTCAGTCGTATACGGTGGAGTGGATTAGGTTTCGCACCTGAGCGCCATTGGAAATGTACGACGGACTTGTTCGTAGTTGCGACTATGAACAATGCAATTGTGTACTATTATGGTGCAGGAGAAGAGAACCAATCGCTAAACACCTCATGTTGGACTATACTACCTGTCACTGCACGCGGTGAGGCAACATGTCCGGCATATCAGATTGGGGTATGTCACCTTGGTATTTACAAGCACTTCATTCGGATAAATTTGGACGGTGACTTTTCAGTTCCACCGATCGATAATCGGTGGACTAAGGAGCATGATCCTAGTATTGCTGGTTGGGAATTACCACTTCTTCCTAGAATTCAAGAATGGTATAGGTTGGTCCCCTTCAATCCTCGACGACCCGTGAATGATGATAATGATTTCATTGATCTTAGTTTTTTAGATTAGATCCATGTTGGTTTGTTTGTTGTGATGATGATAATGGTATTATCTAGTATCTAATTTGTTTGTTTTTTTATGTATTGTGCAATAACATACCACAGGAACATAAAAAAAAAACATACCACATGGACACCAAATAAGCTAACTAATATATAACACACAATTTCAGTATATAAAAAAAAAAAATCCTAAATCCAGTCCAAGAAACAAAAAAATAAACAAATCCAGTCCAATAATACGACAATGACAATGCTCATGGGCCTTTGTAATAACGGACCATTGTATCCAGCAGCTTCTCATCATATTCAGCAGCTAGCTCGCGATCGGACATTTTGACCTTTTTAATCAGGTCTGTAGTGATTTTTCTCAATTCATTCATCCACTGGAAAAAAAAAAAACCAAAAAAGGTTAAACTATATATAATATAGAAATGTATATCTAAAAAAATATAATTAGAAATACAACTTACATAATCCTGACTGCTCCTAGCTGGTGTAGAGTCTGAAGATGGGTCAGTTGTCGGCAGCAAAAATAGATGTGAATACTGCCTGTACAATTCAAGGTACCCATCCTCACACTCTCCTATGATGTCACCAAAATTGAAGCGCCTCAAACCCAAATTAATACACGCTAACTCCGGGAATCTCCTCCAAGTACTGAGTGTGTCAACAGCAGAATGCTCTACAAAGTACTGCGTAGTCCTGGGTCCTCGGAATGCATCATCAAGGGACATGGGCGAACGAAGAATATTCTGTACGTTGCCAATCTGACGTATACATCTGTCCGGCATATAAGGTTCATGCAAGTTCCTACATTATCCACCCACTGTAAATAGTCCTTGGAACTATTCTTTGTTGGCCAGGTCCAAATGGCTCCCACTTGACCTGCAAAATATTATTTACATTATTTATAAATATAAATTTCAACAAAAAAATGAAATACAGTCAAAGCAAAAAATATGTACCTCTAACTCGGTGAATCCGTCGAGACGCTCCCTAACCTGACGAAGACGATCTGGCACTGATGTCGGCCCTGCATAAGATGGTGGTATCCAACATGTACTCTGGGCCTGTCATTACCCCTACGGGTAACTCGCCCTACCTGGGGGCGGAAACACGGGAAATACTCGTAAATCCAGGCCTGCAATAGGGTCAAATAACCACCTAACTGAGTGCACTTTGCCCTACTAGTCATCCCTAACTGACGGTATAGGAACGCAAGCGTAGCAAAGCCCCACGAGTATGAACCCATATTTTCGATCCCAGCCATCAGCTCATGTACAAGTGAAACACTGCACCTCCCACCACTCTTGCCCATGAATAATGTCGAGGCTAACAATACCCACAAGAAAGCAGAGGCCTGGGTATTCTCGTCCACTTTCTGGCATCGCTCAAGGATGAACCAATCAGAGACACCGACATGACTCCATTTGTAACCATTCAAATCCAGTCCAAGTATCCCTGCTGCATGTGCCCTCAACACATCTGTCTCGGGCGTACCTGACACCAACTCTCCATCAACCCCAATGCCCAAAATATGATAAACATCATGCATCATGATGGTCATCTCCCCGAACGGCAAATGAAATGAGATTGTGTCCGGCTGCCACCTCTCAAAAAATGCACTTACTAAACCAAGATCAATATCTTCATACGAGGTATGAAGAAGGTGACCCAATCCAGTCCCCCGAATCTTGCCTTTCGCTACATCATCCATATCCTTATACCACAACTTTAACTTATTCAGAATCTTTTCACTTTTAAATATCTTCAGGATGGGTCTATGATATCCATGCCAGAAATGATAAGCAATATGCCCAAGAAAGCTAGGAATCACGCTACCATCTTTCGGCCACCAGGTACTTCTTCTGTCACTAGCCATATAGTCGGATCAATTTCATCAGAAACTCTCGACTGGCTGCTGACGCCTGTACCATGAATGGGTAAACAAAATATTATTTGTTATATTTTATACACATACAACAATTTAATAAATATAATTGAAAAAACTTAATTAAAAATAATTACATAATTTTAAATAATTACAAAAATTAAATATAAATATTTGGTACCTAATGATGCAATAGTGGTAACTGGACGTGTAGATACTCCAGTGGATCCGGGACCTCAGCGAGGGCACACGGGACCAATGAGAGGACAAGGACGTGTAGATACTCCAGTGGAGACGGGACCTCCGTGAGGGGGCACGGGATCAATGGGGGGGGGAGATGCTTGAGCGGGCGGGAGGGACAAGGGCGACTACCGGTGGATATACCTTGTGGGAATTGAACAACACCAGGGAAAGAGGGACTATAATGTGGACTGACACTGACCACTCATAGGAGAATGGATAGGGGTAGGAGGAGAGGGTAAACCTCCAGGACCAGGCCGTGGACAACCAAACAGGGGAGGAGGGTAACTACTAAGATTGTACATAGGCCGATCTCTGTGATGTGCACCCATCCTAACACTGTCCTGCATATCATCCTCATCAAACTCATTCTCCTCATCCTCATCCTCCTCTTCCAGGTCGTCCTCAGAATACTCGGGTACCTTAATCGGCTGACTAGATCGAGTCTCAAACGGTACACCACCCATATTGATCTGAGTCATTTTCATTCGCTTCTTTAACTCTTTTTCCTCTTTTTTCTTCCGACGACTCATGGTCAGATAACGCGCACAAACCTTACGCTTACTAGTATCTTCAGTATCACTATCATCATCATCATCACAATAAACCTATAAACAAAATTTTAGTCATCATCATCATATTTTCCTAGTCTAAACAAATAATTATACAAATTTCTTAAATCCTAAATAGTTTAATAATTAAGTACACTTTGATTAAACATACAATTCATATAACAAAGTAATTATATACATAATATAAAACTAATTATCATACAATAATTAACTAAACAAATTAATCTATTGTACTTAATTATAAACTAAAATACTTTACCAAATTTTTTATTAAATTACTATTATTTATAATTAATCCAATATACTCAACTAATTTACAAAATATTTATATTAATTTATTTAATCATAAACTACATTACAAACAAATTAGATTAACTTCTATTATTAATTATATTAATCCAATAAACTAAAAATTAATTTACAAACTATTTAAATCAATTTATTTACACAATTTAACTAAATAACAAACTAATAACCAATTAATCTAAATCACAAACTTTTTTGAACTAATTACATTAAATATATTAAATTATAAACTAATTACATTAAATTATAAACTAAATTACTAAATTAAATTTATTACACATAACAAAATTAAATTAAATTCAAAATTAGTAATGAATTAAAACTTACAAAAATTAAAAATTAAATTAAATTAAAAAAAATTCAACCGGACCGGATCTTATCCCGGTCCAAGCTGGCCACCGGAACGGCCAAGGAAGCCGTCCGGCGGCGCCGACAAGACGCGCAAGCAACGCGTCCCGGTTCAAACCGAAACGAGCATCAAGCCCGTTCGGTTTGAACCGACGCGTTTCTTGTGCGTCCCGTCGGCAAAATGGGACGGTCGGCCGGACGGCCTAAAAATACGTCCGGCGGCACCGACGGACGCGCAAGCAACGCGTCCCGGTTTAAACCGGAACGCACAGCGCGTCCCGTCGGTGCCGCCGGACGGCTTCCTTGGCCGTTCCGGTGGCCAGAATATTTTTTTTTTCCTTTTCTTCTAAAAAAACCAAATTTTTAAGAAAAAAAACTTACATGTGATGAGATCGGCTCTTTCCCGCTTGATTTCTTCCGTGTTGCCATCAATTTTACCTCCAAATAAGCTTCAATTTGGGGTTCGGATAATGAAGGGGTTTTGTTTTCTCGCTTTTTTTCTTAGGTGGAAGTTTGAAATGAGAGGGCAAAAATCGAAAATTTGAAAAAATGGTGGCTTCAAATACTAAAGGTGGTGGCTTCAAAAACTAACACCCTTCTCATGATGATTTTGAGATCTGGATATCTAAATGATAGAATTTGAGAAAAAATAGAAGAAGGGATTGCGTGACTGTGTAATTGTGTGTGTGACTGAGTATTGACGGGAAAGGGAGAGAACCAAGAAAGACAGAAGATTTGCTAATTTATTCAATGGGGTAAAATTGGAAATTTACGGCATATATTGAGTTGTACCTTGCTCAATTGACAAAATTAAAAAAGTTATGCATTTTGAAACTGAACTATTTTTGTATTATTAGAATGCTAAACTTGCTTCTAACTTGTATTCCCTTCCAACTTGACGTTTATACTATGAGCATTCTCATTCTAGCTTAGCAGTAATGCTGCGCGTTTCTTGGTTTTCGGCAGGTGATATTGTGTGATATTGTGGATTATTTAATATTCTTCACATATACTCCCTTTGTCCCATAATTATTATCCAGTTTAGATTTTCATTTATAGTTCAAATTATACTAAAATTGAAATCTCAAACTGAACAATAATTTTGAGACACAGGGAGTACATCCAAAAAAAAAAAAATTAATAAGAACACTTCTGCTTAAACATCAAATTAGAATGCATCAACAGATTTAAACACCCAATCTTATCACATTAATCAACGGTATCGAAAGGCAGACTAAAATGTGTCTCCACAGAGCTTCTCGTTCTACAAGTTTATGCGACGCAGAATAGCAGACACTTCGGCCACAAGAGGCACAGCGGAGAACAAAATAATTAGAAAGGATTGGGGAACACAACCACACGCAACTAAATCACGCTAAAATCGTACATAATTGAATGATTTTTCAGGCAGGCCTTTTTAATCCATCTCCGATCTTGCAATGTTTGGTGTGAATGATTTGATAAGCAAAGGGGCACAGCACAACCTTCCTTGGTTTGTAGAACTACTATTATTATATTTATACTAAAGGTTCAACTCTACTTAGCTTGGACTTCTCTAGTGCCATCAAAAATATACATACGATTGCCTTCTAAAGACTGCAATTGCCGCCTCACCAGTATCAAAAAACAAGAAAACAAACACAATTAGTCGCCTGATTGACAGCAGAAACCTGCCCGGAAAAGAATAGAGAACTCAAGAGAGGGGGCGGTGGGTGTCAAATCTAGCCAACTCCAGCAGCAGGTCACAGCGACAAACAGGCAGAACTGAATCCCATCCTTAGGTGTCCTTGTCTTCGCAGGTAGTCAAATTACAGCAGAATTGTTGTGGAAGCTAAGAATGAATGGGGGAAAAATAAAGAAAAAAGAGGAAAAGATTGGTGAAGAAAGGAAATAAAGCAAAAGAAACAGAAAGAGTATCTCCAAGGCAAAAGTAAATTAGAAATAATGGTTAAGCTCCGTTTCCTTTAGGTACACCAACAAAAAAAGCTGAAATTTTACGAAAACATATTATGAACTTCTATATATCCTTATAAAACATGATCATGATCAAACTCCAAAAATTTATAACTACTTCTGCTATACCATTAAGACAATAGTTCAATTACTCAAAGCAGGTAATGTTCGTGCCAACCACCCCGTGACAACACATTGCCATCATTCGGAATCTTAAAAATCATCAGCTTTGCACGGCGTTGAAGCGAGCAAATCAAACATTTTAAGCGAACAGCTCCAATGGAAACATTACATAATCCAAACATTATCGGTATCCACTTGAATTGCTTAGAAAAGAGAATCCACAGGTCACAACTTTACATCTAATTAACATACATAGAGGCTAAACAGTAAACACAACGTGCACTTATAATTATCTCCTTGATTCACAATAAGAAATAGTCATATATCGTTTCCAGAACAATTAGTTACCTGCAGAATAAAGACCATCGAATTCGATCATGAAACACAGTAACATTAACCAGTCCGACATCACTCCACGAGGAGCAAGCTGTAAGCTAACCATCTGAGCAACCAGGGAATCGAGTGGCTCATATGAGTGGTTTTCCTAGTCAATCATTCAAAGGGAAAATGGAAAAGAAAAAGGAAGGAGAAAAGAGGAAGACCATAGAAGGGAAAGAAAAGCCCCAAAAAAAAAAAAAAAAACAGAAAGAAACAGGAGATGAGCAATTACAAAATAATAAAAGACAATAACAAGCTTTAAGCTTCAAACAAGAACATAATTATGTCACAACAGTTATCCATAATTCATTATGAACCTTTCCAAACAGAAAGGAACGCGCACATTTTAACAGCAAGGGATATAAAGAAAGGGGAATCAGGTAGTGGAGATGACCTATCTGATTAAGGTCAATATTAATCTTGGCCAGTCAACTCCAATCAAGAACCTGCAACATGGAGAAAAAAAACAAACATAATAATCATAACAAGAAACACTCTAATAGTTTTGATACAAAACAGATTGAGCATCAACTAGGACTTCCACTTATTGCCCCTTTCTTGTAGCTTGAAACTCAAAATGATTGTTTCCAATCAATTCCAAGTGCACAACATTGTTCGATCTTTCCGCCCATGTGCAGAAAAACATGTCGCCACTTCCTTCGTTCATCATCAAAGGGAACATGCTCCAGCAGTTTCAGGTTTGTTCATCAAGGTTATTTTTTTCCTGTCATAGTGCCTAAGTCCTCTCAAACTCAGGATCATCCCTTGCATCAATTGAATTATAGCCGTCAGCCTTCCTTGCATCCTTCAAGTCCTCTGCCTCGGGTTCAGCATCAGACTTAGGATCACTTTCCTTGAGAGGTTTTACTTTCTCATTCTTACTTTCACGACGACCATTATCTTTTGAAAACTTCTTGCCTTCTGGTGATCTAGACCTTGAGTGCTTTCTACGCTTTGATTCTCCCTCATCCAAACGTCTAGGGGATTTGTTTCGTTTTCCCTCAGCAGACCTTGACCTGGACCGCCTTCTCTCATGGTGTATGGACTTTCTTTCTCTACTTCTCTCCACTTTGTTACTTGATCGACGTTTTTCTTCAGGTGACTGAGGACTTTTGTGTCTTGATTTGTTTTCACCCGATGGTGACGATCTGCTCTCTTTGCGAGTATTGACCTCAATTGAGGGTGACCTAGACCATCTACGATCCTTTTGTTTGGACATTTCAGTTCTATGCTCATCCAACTTATTTCCAGAGTTATAGTTAGCTTCAATTGACCTAGACCTTGATCGCTTTCTGAGTTTTGTTTTGCTTCCATCTCTCCGTGGGGATGATTTACTTGACTTACGATGGCCTGGAGATCTTGAATCTGCACGGGAAGATTTCCTTGGCCTTGGGGATGAACTATCTCGATGACGTTTCGGGGAACGAGATTCGTCCCGGTATAACTTTCTGATCTGTGGGCTCCCACTCCTGCTTCTGTATCTTCTTGTAACAGGAGAACGGCGATCATATGATCTACCCGAGGCCCTCCTACTTCTGCTATCATCATCCCTACCATCCCGGTAAGATCTTCGGTCATGCTCATAGCTTGAGTAATGACGAGACCTTACAGGTGATCTGGATCTATAATCTCTCGAAAATCGACGACGAGGAGAAAAAGACCGAGACCTCCGCCTAAACCTGTAGCTGACCGGAGATAATGACTTGGATCTTGATCTCGATCTAACTCTTCCAGGCCTTGGAGATGGAGATCTTTGCATCATACAGGACCAGACAAAAAATTGGTAAGATTGCAAAATCAATGAAAGAAGTACGTATAAATACCAACCATGAGAAGAGCGCTTACATGTCAACATATGCATATACAGCTAACTGATTAATTGAATATCAAAAGGTAGACAGAGAATTAAAACTTCAGTCCCTTCATCAGAATCCAAAACATTAAGTATTATTCATCTTCATAGTTCATATTTATCAAAATTCACTTTTGGTCATTACAGTGACACTTAACCTACTATTTAGAATTTCAGAAACCAGAAAAGCTTGCATGGAAACATTTTAAACATAACAAAAAAAAGAAGCCAGAACCCAAACTGGTGGCACAAAAATGATGAAAACTAACATTAAATAGATAATATCTTCAGAATTGATTGCAACATACAAATCACCAGCCAGGTGTGTGAGTGTGTGTATAGTATAAGGACTAAGGCTACTTAAAACATGATGAACTCAGAAAAGAAAAGATAAGAGCCAAGTGGTAGACAAATATGTTTGAAATGGAGGGGAAGCAAATTGGAATTACAATACCACGATAAAACAGAATTTCACCATTACAAGCACATGCAGTAAATATTGGCTTGGGCCTTGGTCCAAATTCCAAAGCTTGCACACAACTCCTCATTTCTACATAACAACTGACAGGAAGCAACCTTCAAGAACTCCAACTAATATTAACGTTCACAAAGCAGGCCTTACGAACAGCACAACCAAAAAAGAAAAGGAAAAAAGAAAAGAAAAAAGAGAGAGAGAGAAACTTAGAAAAGATATCCCTCATCATATCCATCCTACAGGCACTGTTCATGAATCACCTAAACAAGCTTCAGTTTCCCATATTTCTCAACACAGGGAGACAGTTTCAATGTTTCATCAAGCTAGAGAACCACATAAAATTCGGAAAAAAATGATAAGGAAGCCATTGGGATTCCAACAATAATAAAAAAAGGCTCAAAACACCCTAGGTCAAGATCAATCTACTAATACTGAAAGAACTAGAAAACACATCTCAGGTTGACAAAGATGCAAGCACTCAAGATACAGCCACAGATTGCACAGTTATATAGAAACCCTCCAGCCTCAGATACTACAGCCTTAATCGAAAAATACCTAGATTTTTGGTCCCCTTCCTTATTTTCAGTGACAACCCCATCCGGGTTCAGCTTTCTACTTATTTCAGCGGCTCTAGCTGCCGCTAACTCAGTTGCAGATTTCATGCTTGCAGCCCGATTGGCTGCCTGCTGTTGGTTTAATGTTTGCTGCATTAATAATGCCTGCTGGAACTGCATCTGCTGCATAGCAACTGCTTGTTGCATCATTAAAGGGATTGAAGAAGAAGCCAACGGAACGGCTGGCTTTGGAGGAAGTGACTTAGCCATCTCAACATTCAACGGGCGACCTGCAACATCCATATTGTTAAGACCTAATGCAGCAGTAGCTTCTTCCGGCTTGGAGTATTCTATATAAGCAAAATGTTTAGAATCAGTCACACTGCATTCGACAACAGTGCCGTACAAGCCAAACAGCTGCTTCAACTGATCCACAGTAAGAAGAGGACTAAGGTTGCTGACTTGTACAGTTTTCTTAAGGGTATCCCCTTTTCTCTCTTTTTCAGCTGATCCTGTAATATAGCAAAAGAACATAGATAAATTAATTCAAATGATCAAGATGGGAGGAAAATAATAATAATACAACCTACATCCTTCACTAGCCAAATCATGAACACTAATGGATAACTAGCATTATCAAAAAATTTTATGCATATGCGCATTGATTATAAGAGTAAAAGCAGGTGATAGAAGTACCAGAAGATTCTTTGCTAGACTGTGCTTGAGCTGCCTGCTGTGCATGGGCTTGCATAACTTGAGCAGTAACAATTGCATGAGCAGCAGCCATTGCAGCAGCAGAGGGTGCCATGGGTGCTTGATTAACATTACCCATCGTGGTAGTAGCTGCCAAAGCAGTCATCAAAAGATTGTGAGGAGGATGACTAAATTTGCAATCAGATTTTGCACACCGTCCACTAAGATACTCTCGACAAACTTCACCTAGAGATGACCCAATCCCAGGTAAAATCACACCACCTGAAGCTCCTGGAACGAGGCCAGGAATCATCCCAAGTAACCCAGGAAATGCCCCAGAAATAGAGCCAGAGTAATTAGGCATGTTAGGCATGCTTTGGTTAACCATATTGGGGAATGCAGGAGATGGAGCCATGCCTAGCAATCCTCCAGTCGTGGTTCCTACAGAACAATCCTTTCAAGTATCAGTCCAAAAATTCAACCTCATAGCAAACTAGTAGATTTGAAACTTATTCATCTAATGATAAGTGATATTCAATTAAGAGCGAAGAGAGAAAGAAAAGGAAAACACAAAACCATTCAAACCAAAAACCAATTAAGCAAGCTACTATACAGTTACCTAATCTCATGAACAAGAATCCCGTCTTCCGTCAAGCAAAACCATTTCACTTACAGAATCTACATATACATACAATACCAGACATAGAAGTGGAAGAAAAAAAAAAAAAAAAACAGCAGCAGTGTACAAAAAAAATGCATCTTGTATAATAAGATAAACTAAAAATAAAAAATCAATCTTAGGTAGGATAATTCTAAAGTACCTGTGCTGAAGAAGACAGGGAAGGGGCTTCCCATGATAGGCTTCCCATTACACTCCACATTCACCATATAATTCCCCCTCTTTGAAACCACGTATGTCACTGAATAAGTACCATCACCCACGTCCTTCACAATTCCATCCTGCTCCGATCCACCAACACCCACCCCTGGCGAAACCCTAACCTTAATCTGTGCTCCGCCATGGGGAACCTTCCGGTTATCAGAGTCCTTACTAACCACCACAAAAGTAGACGGCGCACAAGCCGTCCCGCCGGCAATGCCCGCCCCAGCCGCCGTGCACTTACTGGGATCCACCGGTCCAATCGGCTTCTGCGCCAGCCTTCTTCGCTCCCTTTCCTCGTCATCTTCATCCTCATCGTCGTCCGAATCGGCGGTCGGAGCTGCACTCGTGTTGGAAGAGTCAACGTTCTTAAAAGTGGCTTCAAACGCAGCTTTCGCCGCCGCAGCTTTCTCCGCTTCGCTTTTCAGCTTAGCCTCCTCGGCTTGTATCATCCAAATCGGCTTAGGTCCGGCGCCGCCGCCGGAAGCGTTCGCTGTGGTGTTGTTCCGATCGGCCATTATAAGGGTTTCAGGAGAACTGCAGAAACCAGCCCAATTAACCCGACGCAACCTGAATCCAATGGAGCTCCGATTATGGAATAGGTGATAAGTAGGACCCAAGAAGAATTAATAATAAATCACAAATTGAATTCGTCCGACGCAGCCAAGATGTGTCTGTACGCGCACGCGCCGCAGAAAGGGTTGACGGCTGGAGCACGGGGAGGTTTAAGAAGACGTACCTTTTGAAGCGACGGCGAACGGGTGAGGTTGTCAGGGAAACACGAAGGAAGTCTTCGGGGAAGGAATGGATATATATGACTGTTTTAAGCATAGGGGCAATATAGTCCACTCGTAGCTTTCTTTTTCTCCCTTAAAACATTATTATAAAAGTATATTATTATTTAAGAATTGATTTGGCTAAAAATAAATATATTTAAGAATGATAAAAATTTACAGAAAATTTTAATAGAAATGAATCCTAACCGTTAGTTATACTTTCTTGTTGGGGAGTTCAGACTTCAGACTTCAGACGCATCATTCCCTATTAAAATTTCATGTAAATTTCAGGCATTTGCTTCTTCATTATACCAAAAAAAAAAATCTCATGTAAATTTTCCCTGCATGTATGAGCACTACAGAAAACTTTAATATCGTCTTCCAAAATTTAACACCTTCATGCATAGTCTTTAAAAATCTTTTTTTAAAAAAAGTTATAGTTTATTTTTCCTTTCTAGATCCAGTTTCCTTTTGTATTATCACCTACACTATTTTTGCTACTTTTTTCCTAAAAAAAATAGTACAAATCTCAAAATACACTAAAATACACTAATTATTTCCTTCATCTCGTTCATGTGCCATTGATTTTAAAACAGATAATGAGAAAAAATCAGATTTAAGATAACAAAAATTTTATGCATTTTAGATGAGCATAAAGGTTAGCAATATTATTAGCGCTTTTTTAAAGCCTCCAGAGCATAACTATATTTTTCTACAAAATTGGCCTTTTGAAATCAAACCATTTTTATTTCTTTTCCCCTCTACCATCTCTCGTTGGCTTCATTGTTTTTTTTTTATGGCCCCTTTATGTTCTTATTAATACCAATTTTCCTCCAAAAAAAAATAGACTATCTAGAATTTCTAGCTCAATTAGCCACTCTAAATCTTTATTTGTATACGTGTCATAATTTAAGCACACGTAAAAATTTAAGAGTAAAAATATTGTTTACAACTTACATATTAATTAATCTTAGATAAAATATTAAATATCAAATCTCAAAATATTGTTTAAAAATTTCAAATATTAAAATTATGTCATAATAGTTAACCTTATTAATAACTAGCCCATTTTAAAAAAAAATATAATACTAATTTGTAAAATAATGCAACTTTACGACTTGATAAAGCTAAATAGTGAGATTAAAGAGATGATCATATCATTTCTTTTTAAATTTGAAATACATTTCTAAAACATAAAGTAAGGGTAAGCATCATGCTCATTTTCATAAATCTAAGTCGATTACATTTTCTAGATACCTTTTTCCTCCTTTTAATAATTAATAAAGTAATACAAAATTTTAATGATAAATATATTATTTAATATTTATGTCTCTACTTTCATAAAAAATCGAAAATAAATATCAATAAAATAATACTAGGTCGAAGGATATTTCTTAAAATTATCGAAGGATATTTCTTAAAATTACAAAATATAGATTGAATTATTTAAATTTTGTGATAATAACTAAATGGTTAATTGGGGGAGGGGGGTGGATGTTGTTAGGGGATTAGGATGGGGATGATTATTGCCAAGAGATCGAGGGTTTTTTCCTTATTAGGGCCAGAAATGTAAACACTAAATAGTTAAATAACGAGCGATTGTGCAATTTTTAAAACTTGATAAAGCTAAAAATGAAAAAAAAAAAAAAAAGGATCATACATATTTTCTTCTACAGAATAATCTATCGGTTTTACATACACTTATTCGTTCGGAAGTATTAAATAGAATGATATATATTATTTACTTAGAAAACACAAATTGGTAAATCGATGTACTTCATAAAATGATAACTCTATTAAAAAAAAAAAAAAAACTGGATGACTTAAAATTTTATGTAATGACCTGTATATAATAATATATGATAATGAAATGGTTAGATTTCATAGTTTGCAGTTATAATATAGAGCTCCTAGGTATACCTTACATTTGAAATTCATGCGCCCAAAAAGGGGGTAAAAAAAAAGATTTTTCAAATTTTCAATTTCCTAATATCTCTCATAATTTTCAGTCATCATTAATCATATCCATCCAACTTCCTATTCCAATCCAAAGACGTTTCAAACTAAAAAATCTAAAAAACAAAATATTCTCTGCAGAGATTTGGTATCAAAACCTCTCGTCGTCGGTATTTTTAAAGATGAAATACGATTATGCATCAAATCCCATGAGTTTGGTTGCAATATATGCTACTGAATATGAAAATTACGGTAAGATTTGGGATTGTTCATCTATTTTGTGTTTTGTCCGGTGAATTTTAAAAAAGATTAATATATTTAGGTGTTGTTCATCAATTTAATAGATCTGTTTTGTGTTTTGTCCGGTGGCAAAGATTTGAGATTATTCCCGTCGATTAGTTTTGTTGATCGATATATGGTTGATTTTGGAAAAGATTATTAGATCTAGGTGCTCTTCATCAGTTTAATATCATTATTCATCTTTAAAACATGTTAGTTCGTCGATGTTCTAGTCTTGTTCATCGCTTTGTGGTTGATTTAAGAAAATATTCATAAATCTGGCATTATTCATCTTCTCAGTATCATTATTCATCATCTATATGTGGTTGTTTTAGTCATATTTTCTTCTTTTGTGAAATGTTTATTCATCATTCATCATCGACTAATGATGTTAGTTCATCAATTTCTTAGTTTTTTTCATCGATTTGTGGTTGATTTTGGAAAAGATTAATAGATCTAGGCTTTGTTCATCAGTTTAACATCTTTAAAACATGTTAGTCCATCGATGTTTTAGTCTTGTTCATCAATTTGTGGTTGATTTTGGAAATCAGATTTTGACATCATTATCTATTTCTGGTGGTTATTCATCATCTCGATATCATTATTCATCATCAATTTTGAGTTGTTTTAGTCATATTTTCTTCTTCTGTGAAATGTTTATTCATCATCTATTTCTGGTTATTAATTATTTTCGCTTAGTTATTAATTTTAATTGTGATACAAACTACAAGTGATGTTGTTTATCTGTAATATGTGATTGTACACAATTGTAAATATGTGTCATTAATCCTGTAAAATAGTGTTATTCATCCTGTCAATATATGTCATTCATTATTTGAACATGTGTTATTCATTCCGTAGATATGTGTATTCATCATACAATTATATGTCATTCATCACCAGTTATGTTATTTTTCATCATGTAATATGTACCGTACATGGTTGTTATTAATTGGATTCGATTTATGTAATTTTAATGTTTATTCATCTTTTTTAAAATGGTTATTCATCTTCAATAGCATTGTTATTGATGATTAACAGAGTTTTAATTGAATGTGAAATCTCACTTATTGTAATGTTCTTTTTGTTTGATCAACGGCAAAGAAATGCTCATCAAGATGAACTCGATCGGTCGGGAATCAAATATTTGGCAGAGTTGATGAAATCAAACAATTAACATATAGGTTGTGAGCATTGGCGAATCATTCAAGACCGTATATGTTAAAAACAATGAGTAATGTTATCAATAATGTAAAATAGTGTCATTCATCTTGTAAAAGATATGTCATTCATCGTTTGAACATGTGTTATTCATTCCATAGATATGTGTATTCATCATGCAAATATATATCTATTCTTCATTTTATTATTGTTGTTCATATTGGATGGGATCATTATTCATCAACATTTCCTTCGTTATTCATATTTGTAGATATTTATATTCATTTCAAAATTTTAAATTTATTTATCCATAACTTTGTCACTATAAAAACACCATTATTCATCCATAATATTATCATTATTCATTGATATGAATACTATTATTTATCCGAACAAGCATCGTTATCTAATAAAAATCATTCATATTTGACGCTTAATTTTCCAGATTTCATTGATAATCAGTTCAAATTTTTTGCTCCAATTGATTCTTCGGATTTATAAGTCTCGATGATGAATCATATTCAATTTTCCGAAAATAAAATACATAGTTATAAAAAAAATTTCTCACAAAATAAAATAATAAAAAAGATAATAGGATAAGCAAAAAAGAAAACAGTTTAAAATTAAATACTTGAGAAAAAAATGGGATGAGAATAGGAGGATTTAATGCGCGTCTAAAAATTAGGAAAAAAAAAATCAATTTGTGTAGAAGGAGAGTGTATTACACATGCTCATGAGGTACACCTTACAAAGTATACCTAGGTGCTTGTTATTATTTGCCCATAGTTTGTTCATTGAATGTGTAAACATTTATTTTGTTTTGCCAATTACAATAATTAGAGTTATCTGAAAAAAATAGCCAAGTACAAAAGAAATTCTAAAATAGATGCAATTGTTTAAATTATGTGATAATAACTAAGAAATTTTAATGTAATTGTAAAATTGATCATCTAAAAAAAATTAAATAAAAAATAAATGATCATATATTTTCTTTTACAATTTGTACTGCATTTTCGATCATGAATCCATTAGTTTTATGTGTCTATGTTCATGAAAATATGAGACAGAATAAAGGCGAACAAAATTATACACTTATTATCTCTAGTAACGATATTTTTCTTATACTTAAAATTTAAAATTCCTCTAATTTTTGTTTAAAAAAATTTCTGTAAGTTCTTAAAACTGTTTTGGAGTCTATAATTCATTTATTATAAATACCCGATCATTGGACAAATAGCAACTCACCAAACAACATTAAATTCATTTGTCTTTTTAAGTATTTTGGTACTCGGGATTTCTTTCTCTTCATAGATTTTTCTGAATAAGATTTTATGCTTACATGTATTTTAAAAATTAATTTTTTTCAACGAGCTAAATGGTACAAAAATAGATGCTTTAAATGCAAAGGTTAGGATATGTCATGTTTGGAGTCGTCCCCAATCCAATAATGTTGACGGAGAGATACAATCGGTGATGATTACCTTGGACGAAAATGTATGAATTCATAAGATTTTAAATTTTAATTTTTCAAATACATGAATGGTTTTATTATTATTATTTAGCGATTTTTTTTTATTGCCAATCATTGTCTACGTAGGTAGTTGATGTCATCAAACAAGAGCGGATATACGAATTCAAGAATGTGTTTAAAGAAGGAAATTTTTTTTTAAAAAAACAATTTCAGAATTCAACTGAAAAATAATAAGCTGCGACACTTTTTGATGAGTACAAAAAGATGTTCAGGTGAAACACCATTTTTAGAAACTGCCTCGAGATAGACAACTACAAGTTTGGAAGTCTATATGGTTTGAAATTTATCAATTTCGCCGAAAAAGAATACACCGTACTTGATTGTAGTGTTGATAGATTTATATATTTAAATATAATCATTGTGTTGTGTTTTTACTCATTTTGTTTATGAAGATATTATCGGTAAAGTAATTACTGCTGAAAGACAAACCATATTTACCCGTGACCAAGATAGAGATTTTGTGAATTTGGAAATTAGTGATTTACATTAAAATTTTGTGTGTAACAATCTTTTTTAAAATTTAGTTTCTTTTTCAGAAAAATATAATATTATTTTATAATATTTCATGTAGTTTACATGGACGTTCTTAAGAAAGTGTGATGATGCATTGATTTTCTATGTTTATTCTAGTTATTTTTAATTTTTCATTCAGATTTGAACTAAGAGACATTATTATTTAATAATTTTGTTCCGTGTCAGCACCTTTTGTTTAAGTTTATCAACATCATTCAAATACGAAATATTTCATATAATGAATACTGTCAAGGGTTCAATAAATTATAGCATATAATTATTTGCCCGTGCATTGGATCAAATATTAAATATACGACGTATCAGTTTTGTGAATAATAATTATCTATCTATAGCATAATAAAAATAAAAGTATGAGTGATACAAAAATTCTTAAAATATGATTGGTCGGATGATTTATATTCTTTGGTGGACAGTTGTGCTATGACATCAGCTTTTTTAAGTAAGGACAATTCTGTAATTAACTAATTGGCAACTTCTTCTTTTGCAAAACTCCCTTACCCAAAACGATGACGTTTTTAATTTCAATTTGACTATTTAACTGTTTGTTTTTTGTTCTTTCTTTCCTTTATTTTTTTATAAGGTAAATAGGTTTTCCTCTTAAAGTTTCCCTATCATGGACTTTAGAATTCCAAGTAGTAAGCAAGAATAGCTTCACTTTAGGTATTGTGTTTACTTATTTCGTTGAACTTTTCTCAGTGTGGTTGGTAGAGGGGATTGGAGGATGGTGTTGATTAGTTTGATTCATTTTCTCAATTAATTATGGAAGTCTTAGTATCATTATTTGTCTTCCCTGGTCGTACATGCTATCCTTTTTCAGAATACACCAATTCTGATACATATAAGAATTGTAGTTCATGTAAGAGTGTAATAGGCTTTTATTTCATTCTTGCCTCGGTTCCTGTCTAATGTGGTTAATATGGTGCCTTGGTTTTAACTTTTTCCTTTATGCATATAAGAATTGGAAATCTTGTTTAAATTTTATGCCCTAACTTATTGCGGTTATTCTTTCCTTTACCTATTTATCATAGAAGAAAGCAAATCGTGTAATGCTACGAGTGCAGAGCAGACAGTTGCTCTATATCATATTCTAGTGCCAGTGAGGCAGAATGTATTCCCTCCACTCCTCAAGTAGCGGAAGAACTGAAAATCTCTTAATTTCAGAAAATCTCCTTTAGTTAACTGAAGATAGCTACACAAAGTTTTAGATCAGTTACCATTCCTTTCTGTATTTGCTTGTTTATTTTGTTTTGACTATTTCTTTAAATGGAAATGTTAATGTTGTTCTTTGCTTAACATAAGAGTGATCGTTGTTATGATTGGTGAAAATTGATCAAATATCTTCTTCTATTGGCATCTTTTTCCTTTTCACTAGTAAAGTTGTAAATTATCTCCAGGATCCTTACTCTTCTGTGGTCTACCAGACTCAAAGTCGATATAGGTGGGGTAAAAGGTCTGGCCTTCTTCATGAAGAAGCTAAAAGGTCTGTAATTTATTGAGATTTTAAATCATCCAACATACTGTTAGACGAAGGTAAATGTCGGAAGCTTGAAAGGAAATAATTGTATTTTAATTAACATCTAACTGCCTTTTTAAACTGTTGCCTGAACTGTATGTCACTTTAAACAATTGATTTGTGAATCTGCATGATAAACTGGCGTTCATTTTTTAATCTTAAATTGATACATAGCTTTTTGAGCAAGACTGAGCTTATTGATCAAGTAGTTCGAACTGCTAATCAATTGATAAGTTTACAATGAATTTTAGCATTGATTTTGCTGGTGTTTTAACTGTTATCGTTTCAATATAATATCAAAATTTTGATGACATTTAATCTATCATGAGAGTAAGGTGAGCAGAATTTTGACTCTATTATGGTGCTGTTTAAGTGAGTCAGAAAGTTGATGTCTACAGGAATTAGAGAAAGATCGAATTTTAAACTGGCTGTTATGTCTTGGGGGGATCGATCATTCTGCAAAAAGTGATAATCGTAAAGTAAGATTTGAAATAATAAATTGTCACTATGGGACTCAACAAGTTCTGTCTTCAACATGCTTTGGAGGGGTTCTTCGAAGGTATGAATATGAGTTCTGCCATTTAGTCATTTGCTTCGACATATGAAGGATCAAGAGTTCTTTTTCAATTACAAATTCAAAATAATTATCATAAATTTATTTAAACCAAAATGACTAATCATCTAATATCGTCACATGTCTGTTATCACTGTTATTTCTTCTGGTTATTGCTTTCTACGTTAAGTGTATGTTACGGATTGCATCTATAAAGTGATCATAATAATAACATCATTCCTTTTATTTTCTTTGCTATTTCCGATTAGCTTGGACTATTTTGATTTTTTTGAAGTTGTGATCCCTCTTTGAGGAGCTATACCAAAGAATTTCGCTGTGTGCATCTCAACTTTTATGACCGAAATTTCTTTGTTTTAAGTTTCAACTGTAGTGATAGCAAATGAAACTTAGAAAGTCACTTTCTACCAAACTTTGCGTTTGAGAACTCTGGCATAAGATGTTGGGAACTCGAATATTGTAGAAGTGACTGCATTTTTGCAATCAAATTTGGTTCTATTCTTCCTTAGTAATTAGTGTTTTGTTTCAAGAATTTCGCTGGCTGATGTTGCTAAGAAGTAGAGATTTTATTCAACAAACCTGGTTGTTGATGCAACCCTTGCTCCTCTGTGAATTTCTCATAATGTCATCGGTGAAGAGAAATAATGCACTGACTGAGAAGTGCCGCTGACAAGAAACATGGAAGGGACAATTTTGTTAGTCATTTTGTTAAGGCTAAAGGTGCTTATGACTGTAACTAAGGCTGAATTCAATTGCCTGAAATTTAGGTTGCTTCAGCTAGACAAATAATAGTCTTTTGTGTTCTGTAGTTGCTGCCAGATGTCATTGCGTCTTTTTGTTGTTTTAGTTGATCTTAATTCCATACAATTGACGAGCCATTGTAAATTTATCATCACCTTTGATGGAGGGCAAGAACTGAGTCATGTTCTTAATTGATTTCAAAAGCATGCAGGGAGAAACATTAAAGAGATAGGCTAAATGATAATTGTGTAACACTCTTTTGTCTCTCAGATACTGGGTTTGTCTTTTTTTTTTCCTTCTCTCATCCCGTCCCTTACGAATATGATAGGTTTTGGTTTGTGGAATTAGGGGCTCTGCTTATACCTGGAAGACCTCTAAAAACGGAGAAGGCTGCCAATTTTGATGCCGTTCAATGGTAACTCAATTATGCATTGAAGTCCAGGAGCTGGAAGACTCGAATGTCAGTCTTCCAAAAAAGATTAAAGGACTGAAAGGTCAAACTTGATGTTGGCCTCATCAATTTGATTTCTGCCAACACCTTCATTCTTTGATGATCTGGTTTTTATACCCCTTCTATAAGGGCTTGCTTATTTGGGAAAATGTGATTTAGTTGAAAAAATTAACAATGCTTCGGGTGTTTTTTTTTTTTTTTGTTTTTCCTTTATCTTGTTTTTTGGCACCCCATACACTTGGCAATATATGTTCATTTCAATTTTTTTGTAACTTTTAGGCTGGAAAGAATGAGTTTCAGGATGAAAAAGTCGAGGCTAAAGGTTGAGAAGGAGAAGCTGGAGCAACAACTTAAGACTATGAACAACCAACTTAGGTTCATGAGGTTGTACTTGCTCCATTTGCTGCTCAGCCTCAAGCACCTGGCAACTTGCTGGGTACTAGTTATCGGTTACCCTGGAGTTGCAATGTTGCAGTTCATGCCGCCTGCTGCTGTGGATACATCACAGAATCATGTATTGCGTCCCCGATGGCTTGAGTTGGGAGACTACTACAAGGCAACTTTGTGATGCCTCTTCCTTTTTTATTTTGATTGTAATAGTTACTGGTCAACAACATTGTTACTGGATTTTTGGATCGTCACAAGACTTGGTTTTTCGAAAATTAGTTGGTACTTGTGTGTAAAACGGGAACAAGTTATTTTGGTGTTCAAATACAGCTAAGACTGATAAAGTTTTTTTTATGGTTGTTTTGCATGGCAATGGCGAGATCCACAAAGCAGCACAAACTACATTCCCTTCTTTGCCTTGTCATTTACCTTGTCTCGTCGCCGTCATCTAACTTCAGCAAACTGAAATTACTGAGAGCATCAAATCTTCATTTGCTTCTTAACAAATCATCAAATTAACATTATCAAATCTCTCCGAAAACCAAAATTAATGTACACAAAATTCTTTATAGAATATGCGTGACGGATGCTAAGCACTTATGTGTAAATAAATAAGATAACGGGAACGGGGTAATTGTAAGGAAGTAGGGTAGATTAGGTGGTAAAAGAAATTTTTTTAAAAAAAAGGTACCCGTGCAACACACGAACAAAATGCTAGTATTGGTTATTCAATATTGATTTTCTAGTAGTAGCTTTATGTGACACTCACATAGCCACATTTCTTTTCCAAAAAAACAAAAAAAAAAACATCATAGCCACATTTAAATTATTTTTTTCGCTTTTCTCCCTACAACTTTAACAAAAAATTCTCCCCAATTTTATATACTAATAACAAAATCTTCCTCAAAATTCTCCTCATAGATTCTCCTTATAATTTTTTTTTTCAGATTCCGTGACCATAATTTCATACTTCAACTGTTCCACTATCCTAAAACACATGAAAATTAATTTTCATCTTATTTAATACTCCTATCTTATATATTTCTTAAAAGAAAAAGGGTAATTTCGGCTCCATTTGGACAAGAGTTTTAAAAAGCTTTTCAAATAAGTCTTTTTGAAGCAAAATTTCAAAAAGACTTTTTGAAAAAAAGTCCATTTGGACAAAAATTTAACAAAAAGCTTTTTGTAGTTAAAAATATTAAAAATTCAGTTGGATTAAACCTTTTCCAAAAACACTTTTTGTCAAAAATAATTATTGCACCTTTTTTTTTTAATAAAAAGAAATACTTACACAAATTTTCATATTATTATTGCATTTTTGTTTCATTTTAAAACCATTATATGACCATTCTAGCTTATCGAATGCATAATAAATTTGAAATATTGTTATCGGGAGATTTTTAAACATCCAACTCTCAAAAAAAAAATAAACATAGTTCATAAGACTTGGAATAAATTCACAACTTTTTAAAATCCACACATTCAACTACATTCAGAGGCACCCAAAAAGAAAAGGGAAGGGGAAAAAAAAAGCTGCAAAAAAGATAAATTTGAAAAGAAAAGTCTGAATGTCATGCATTTACCTTGAACCAAGGATAAAACTTCGTGCTGTTTCTTATTCTTGGATGTACCTCTTGTTCATTCCGTGGTGCAATGATAACTGATGAGAATCGGACCAAAGCTTGCACTACATCATCAATGTTTCGCTGAACTGTCTCTCTTGAATGCTGAAATCTTTCTGAAATCACATATGTTTGCCCGTCTGTGCCAGTTAAATTCAAAAACATAGCAAGAGCTTCCTCAACAGATACTTGTCGCTGGTGATGCTCTGACAGGTAATTTCCCTCTCGAAGTACATCACACAGTCTCGAAAAAGTATCAACCGTGATGCGACAATTTTGAACAATCCGAGCGTGATGTCCAAATATCACCTCCCTCACATACTGATGCCCGGTCAAAGCTGATGTCCTACAAGGTGTCTTGCTTAATTTTGTTTTGCGAGTTTTTACCATACGTAGTAACTTCCATTCCTCCAATTCCTCTTCGTCAGATGATGACGAATAATCCATCAACTCATTGTTCAAATTTGACGAACCTTCCATCTTACCTCTGCAAAGATTACCATCAGCATCCATATTAGTAACTTGCTAAGAGAGGAAACACTGTTGCAGTTGGCTGAGAAAAAATTATGAAGGCTTTCACAACTCAGAATCACTGTCTAGCATATACACATTGTAAAGTTTTCAAATTCAAAGTCTTACTCAAGGACCGAACCATCAAACACTTCTGCTGGGAAACATATGTACATCAACCCAAAACGAGTAAAAAAGCCAAAGAATAAGGAAGCACCAATATTGAAGTTCACGTAGCATTGATGACCCAAATGACAAATTGAAAAGTGACCATAATAAGATCAGATTTAATGCAGGTGAACCAAGAAAAAAAAAGAATATGATTGGAAGCAGAAACATTGGTCCTCCTCGAATCTAGAAAGCGAAAAGGAATTAATCTAGAACTTCTGAAAGGGGGTTCTCTTAATTAAAAACACAAAAGAAAATCGACGTGAAACTAACCAAAAAAAAAAAAACTCTACCAATGTGATGGAGATAAACAGCAAGAAAACCATACATAAAATGGTAAATAATAATAATCAAGAAGAACCCATAATCCATGCAATATTAATTAATTGTTTAGTCTGTTCATAATTATCCTTGTTCAATGGACTCCTCATTTTCAAAAAAAAAAAATCTAATTTTAAAAACTAAGTTCCTTATCCAACAGGATGAATTCAAGCAGTAAACAAGCTACAACGAATAAGTGACTTTTTGTGTACTAGCAATATAGGTTTACGGCAGCTCAAACAATCAGTCTACAATCTTTTTACTCCAAAAACAGAAATCTAAGAACAATGCAGTTTTCTATCCAACCAAAGCATCAATGCCATTACAATATTTGAACCAAAATTATGAGTAGCATGATCATATGAGAAACAATAAATTGGCGTAGCAAGACTTTCAATTGAGATTCGCATTTTATCCAATACAAAAGTGATTCAAGATTGTGCAGGCCAATGCTCTAAGGCAAAAGTTAGACTACCTGCTGCCATTCTCATGTAAGCAGGACAAAAAGATCCACACAGAATGAATAGGCATGTTGAAGCAATTCTCAACTATAGCAATCTTAAAGTCATTTGATACATTATTGGATTCATCTATGACACATTGCACAGCATCTAAAAACAGAATATATCAAACTGAATTGAGTATTCATGTGCATATTTGAAAATTTCAGCAAAACGGACTTAATACAGTAAAAAAATGACAAATTTCAGCAAAATCCACATGGAGAGATGCTTAAAGAAAGCAGGCGTGAAAAAGCATTTTGGAATTTGAAATTCACTTGATAGAAATTTGACAGGCATACAAACTGAAAGATAAGGCATTTTGGAAAAGTAGCTTAATCTCTGAAGTAGAACATCATACTGTAATAGCAAAATCAAAAATAACAGAACAACTTGAAATTAAGATACTAGTCACAGTAATCCATACAGTTCTACAGAAAAATTCAAGTACCTTCCCACTGAATTTCTTCTCAAGCTCCCTGACAAGCCTCACATGAATCTTGCGGAAAGCTTTTCTCAATTTGTACGGAACATGAATAACAACAGCCTTCTTGCCTCCAGAAACATCAACTTGACTGCAAAAAAAAAACAGCATTAGACATCAGCAACCATCCATATACCACCTAAGACATGAAAAAGTGACCTATTTCTAATCTCCTTACACATCAAGAACAGTACATGTTTTTATCAGGCTTTAGTTTTGCTAATCGAAATGCTTCCAAAACAAGTAAACATCTACTCCAACGAAAGAAACTAGAAATAGGATACAGAGCCATAGTAATAAAAAATGAGCAAGACTCGTACTCAGCCAAAAGACTCAAATTTACAGCAAGTAGAATATACATAACCATATAACACAAGCAACTCAATTGCAATGAAACACGGAATTTAAGGATTAACTAAATATCTTGATAATATAACATTTAAACACAGCTGGAATTTAGATACAGCTGATGTGAAAAGTTTAAAATATATGAAGCAACAAAAAGCCATCAACAAAATATAAAGGATGTTCCCAGCTCTACATAAGTCTAAAATATATTTCAACTCCACTAATCTATCAAGTCTAGAGTCTCCTAATCCAAGCGAGTCGATGTTCGCGTGAAAATTTCAGAAAAATCCTTCTCCTTGCTTCATCAGTGAAAGCATCACTGGCTTTAAGAAATAAGTCCACATCGTCGATGTCTTCTTCCAGGTCATATAGAAGCTCTATGCATTTCTCGATGGAATGCTCCTCAAAAGCCAAGACTTGGGCTGCTTGCGCATTATACCTTTTCCCCTTTGCAAGTGCAGCTTCTGTTGCAGCTTCCCAAAACACATCCTCTTTTGAATTCCCCTTAGACATTTTCTTCCCTCTTGAGTCTCCCTCTTTATTCATATTACTATCCATCTGCCTCTTACCACTAGACTTGTCACCATCTTCATCCCTTATGGTTTCAAACATTCGCACCAGCCTTCCCGAGCTTTCTTGACTTGACTTTGCCCCGTTGCCATAGCATATGCGCCAACTGAACCAACACTTTGAAATAACTCAGTAAACTCATCGTTATATTCTAAACCATGCTGCTGGAATTTCTTGTAATTCTTGTTTGTCTGCAGTATCCATTTAAATATCCATTTAAATATATATAGTTATACATATTAGTGCAAGTGTAGAATAGTTTATTAACTCAGGATATGTTTGATCTATTACCTTGATTAACTCTTTCCAACGTTCTTCAGAAGCTGTAATGGTTCCTTTTTGGTGATCCCACCCAAGACCAGTGTGTTTCTCTCGCAAATCCTTAAAAGCATTCCAGTCAATTCTAAAGCGATGAAATTTCTGACTCAGTTGCTCAAGGGTTTGCCTATACTCTGATTTGGCATTAAAATCTTTGGTAATCTGGACCCAAGACTTACCAAAGTTATTCTGCTTCATTTCGCCCTTCCTTTTATACTCCAACAGTATGTCAACAAATAGCTTCATGTCTCCTTCAGTCCAAACAGTCCGAGAAACTCCGTAACTTTTACTACTACTTTCACTGATATCTGACATCTGAAGCATAGTAAAGGATAGCTCAAAATTAACCAAATGCACATTCTTGACTTATATTCAATCACATCAATCCTACTGACAAAAAAGATTCCATTAACATGTTTCTAATTCTAACCACCTCGGACTGATATGATGATTTGAAACTACTCCTAAAGATCTGCTGAAGGTATCAGTTTTACGCAGATGCTTTTATCCCATCAATAAGTTATGAAAAACTAAAAGACTACATAGCATACTTGTTCACAAGTTGCCTACAAGCAGTTCCTGATTTTTTTGCCTTATTTTACATTAAATACTGCTTCTGAAACAAATTTGGAGCAAACGAAGATATAAATGACACTTCAACATAAACTGTATCCAAGAAAACAAACGTAACAAAAAAAGCAGAAGTAGTGTGCTGCAACGACATCCTTGAACTTGTACTTGGACTAATCTAATTTCAAGTTTAATAATTTGCTAGTCATGGAGAGTGGTTTACTGATGAAACATAACATAGCATTTCCTGATATGCTAAGCCTCTGAAAGAGACTGCAGTCAAGTTCCACCAAGACACGGCAGTAATGGTAAAAGGGAACTATTAAGTGCAACAACATAAGATCAAAGCAATAATGCACTAAACTCGCCACAAAGTAAGAGAGCAGTAAAATGACAAATGAATGCAGTCCCCAAGTAACGAAAATAAGTATTTCCAATAACAACTCATCAAGGATTCTGGTTCTAGTTCTTCAACTACTAGTGTTGGAGATACGGGTGGCATTCAAAACCAATCCATAACAATTTGATCAAGATCAGAACATCCATGTCTTAAGAGTTATTGGAGGAAAATGCAGTCTGGAAATCACACACCCTCAATCACTCAAAGATAGTTTAGCCTTACAAACCTCGAAGACAAATTCTCAAACTAAACAAGATCAAACTTTGACAAGAAAACATAGCTTGCAATCCAAAGTTACAGTCTACTTGATGATGAAAGTTACTTCATCGAATATTAAAGGTGAAAAGGTCCTGAGGTCAAACATTTTGTTCACTGCTAAACAAACTAAACACTAACATATATGTGCCAAAAAGGAACTAAAAAAATTCAGCTTTACAAGGGCATGTGTGCATCATTCATCTTTATATTTAACCAAAATGATGTCGCAACAAGATCTTAAATTCACCTCAAACTTGGACATTTTGGCTCAGCACAGCTTAACATATGGGATATTTTCTAACATTCAAAATATACTATTTTGGAACAGGAAACTTTTTCACATTTGCAATGCACTAAAACTGAAACCGAGCCACAAAACAAGATCAAACAGACCCAGATTTTCCAAAAATAATCTAAACCAGAGAAACTAATCAAATGATAGAAACTTACAAAAATCAGCTCAACCCTACTTGCATATAAATCAATTCAAATCAGAACAAAATAGCTACCAGAATAATAGAACTCCTCCAACTGAAAACCCACAGATCAATTAGTTTGATTAACCTAAATAATAGAACTTGAAACATGGGATGCAAGAGAGAGAGAGAGAGAGAGAGAGAGAGAGAGAGAGAAAGCATGAAAGTAAGATCAAATCAACCACAAATCTAACGAACCGAGCAAGTTAAATTAGGGGATAACTGTATCAGAAGAAACAGTAACTAAGCCAACAAAACACAATACGTCGTTACTACATGTCCCACTGCCACTAATGTACTCTTTCCCCCAATGAATTCCAAAAGATGAATCCAATCAGGCCTGATCATGTATATATTCCTTTGGCAATCCAAACATGAAATTCAGCCTAAATCTATCAACATTTGTACTCTAATTCAGCCAGACACTTAACATAAAGGAAACAAGATTATATCCCATCACTGATTTTCATAGGAAATAAAAAATAACCTAATTTTCTAGGGCAAAACTACTTTATAAGAAGAACTTATCAAATTATGCTAATTTTCTAACGGAACATAGTTTCAAGCTACAGATACATATTCGATCTTTTCTAATTTAAAAAAAAAATTCCCAAAGATCCACTCACCCTTACCTCCTAAAACATTTAATCTTAGAGCCCAAACGATCTCGAAACTACCATTTCCATGAAGATTGTTCTAAACATTTCATGGAAAGTTACAAAAATGACAAAACATTTCATCACTATATGACTAAATCCCTGGTCAAGCAAAAGCAAGGTAGAAACCTATTTACCTCTCCTCCTCTTAAACTGAACTTGGTACCTCTTGAAGTAAGCTTTACCCTTTTGGGCTTTAACAAAAGCCTACAAAGTAAAGTAAAACCCAGCTCAAATTAGTTAGAGCAGCAAAAATTTAAATTCATGGAATTAAAGCGTGAACCAAACCATATAGAGCAAACAGTTAACATAAATCAACAAATGTATCAAGTAAACATAAATCACTAATACAAAGAAAATCCAACAAACAATACAGCATTTCCGGTTCACAAATGCACATATCTAACCCTTCAAGAGTGAATTCAACAAATTAGTGCATCCAGTTTTTATAGCAAAAAAAAAAAAAAGATTAAAAACATACATTTTTTTACAATCGATGAAGAGATGAATCCTAAATGGACGGGAAAAGATATTTTCAGGAATAAAGGAATAAACCCATGAGCACAGAGCTGATAAATGTACCATAAAATCCAAAAAACAATATAAATTTAATTTACATCACAAGTGAAAAAGAAGCCATCTTCAAATCGAAAGGAAAAGACACAAAAGAAGTATGAGAGATTGAGAGAAGATGATTGATGAAGAGGAGTACCTGTCACGGGGAGGTTTGCTGTCGCTGTCGACGTCGCCGGGGTGCCGGACGGGTGAAGGAGAGAGAGTGAGAAATGGGAAAGGGGTGGCGGATCTAGGGTAAGACTGAAAGAATACGACACTTCTCCATTATATACATTACCCGTTTTTTCATAACCCGGATTTGACCCGAATTTCGACCCGCAACGGAGAAAAAAGGGCTGTTCAAAAAAATTGAAAAATACCCCCTACCTATTTTCTAAAAAGTCTGTTTCAAACCTTTTTTTTTTCAAAATGGTGTTTAGAAAAGAGCTTAATTATTTTGTCCAAATGCATTTTAAATTCTAAACAGACTTTTTAGCCTTAAAAGTCTTTTTGAAACTCTTGTCCAAATAGAGCCTTCCTTTCAACAATATAAACATTTTTTCATCCTTTCCAAAGCATGTTTTAGAATTTTCAAGGCATGGTTTTACTTTTATATCCCCACATTTTTTTCCTAATAGAAAAACTACCTTGGCCGAAACGACGTCCTTTCGTCCTACAGCCGTCGAAAAGGCTTAAACCCCTAAATCCTAATAGTAACTTTGTCATAAACCTCTTCCCCCCTCCTGTCGAATAATTTCTACAGGCCTGAGAAAACGCGCCATCGGAGAAAGCACCAGCGCTGTGCGATTCCTTTACTTCACCTCTACAGCGGCTTCGCCATCTTCGGCGGCAATAATAATCGGAGGGGGAAAGGGGCTTCGTTTTCTCCACCTTTCCAGGATACTCCGGGGATGCCAAGCATATTCCGCCGGACATATTCAAATAATTTAGCCACTAATTGAGGCAAAAAGGGGTTTAATCCTCCTTGGCTTCTTCCCTTCAATTTAAAGGATTCTGAATTCAGAAGGAATCCGCCATGGCCACCCTTTCTGAAGCTCGAGGAGTCAAGTCCCTCAACACTGGCCCGGGAAAGAAACGGTTTAAAGTAAGGCTTTGTTTTTTTGCCTGGTTTATTCTACTTTGTTATTGCATGTGAGAAGGCTTTTCAATCTTACTCTTGCCCCAATTTTTTTTTTTCCAGTTGTCGTTGCTTTTTACAATTTCTACTTTTTTATTGCATTTGAGAAGGCTTTTCAATCTTACTTTTGCCCCAATTTTTTTTTTTCCAATTGTCGTTGGTTTTTACAATTTCTACTTTGTTATTGCATTTGAGAAGGCTTTTCAATTTTTTTTTTTTTGCCCCAAATTTTTTAATTTTTTTTCCCAGTTGTCGTTGGTTTTTACAATTTTGTAGTTGCTTTTTAATTTGTGGGGTTCTATCAAATATTGAATTTCTATTGCTTCTGTGGTTGCAGCATAAGAAGTTGGCTCAAAGGTTTGCGGAGATTGACATAGATGTGTACCGGAATTATTCAGACCCTATGAAAGATGAGCCTTCTGAAGGTTCCACGTTTTTCCGGGATTGCCTTATTGAATGGAGGGTATGTGTTTATAAACTTTGCTTTTCAAAAATTTGTGTACTGATGATGCGTGTGGAAGGGTATCAGCTGTTGTATTTATAATCATTTAAAAGAATGAATTAATTCAATTTTAGGAAGTTTAGGTGGATAAGTAGAACAGTATTGGTGTTTCTGTTTGGTTGAATCTAACTGTTGGAAAGTTTTGGATTTTACTTTAGCAACCTTGTGACCTTGAGATGTGTTTCTGATCTTACTAGCTTTCAACACTTGCAATCTGAGTGATATGATAGCATCATGCTATTTGAAATTTTAATGATGGCTTCATGCGTTTGGGTTTCTGGTCTGAAGTGAATGGTGCATCGATATTGCTGCTGGATTATTATCTTTTGAATTCCAGATGATAGTCTTTATTTATTTCTTTCTTTTTTATTATTTATCTATCTATTTTTTATGGGCCGTGGAAAGGCGAACTATCGAGTGATTACTATCATCCATGGTTTTAGATTTGGGTGATGTATGGCACCTTGTTTGTCATACCAAAATGTCTCTTAATCTCTGTTGTATTGTTATGACCATTTGAAGAATTTGATTCACATGCTTAGGAAACCGAAACCTTTATTTACAGATTGCTAGATTTAACACTCAGTCAGTAAACGTATTGACATGGTTTAGGTGATAGTATATAATATGGAGTTTTTGAGTGAATATATGTACCAAGATGTCAAATTCATTCAAGTATTTGATGTCTACCATGGAAAAGTTTGTGAGGGGTGTAGGATATTTCTTCCTTCTAGGATGCACTGATGTTATCGTTGAGGACATAATTTCTTCATGTTTTTGGGTGTCTAAAATTAACTTGAGAATTCAGGTCTTCTTTTATGGCTTATGTATGTCATAGAATTAGGTTGATTTAAGGCACCTATTCATGTCAAGACATGGTGAATGGTTTTGAGATGTGATATCGAGGATCTATATTGTGTTTTTTTGGATTACATGTTCATGTCCTGATGATCCTTCTATTAAAAATGTTTCTTATGTCCAATGTCATCTAAAATTTTCTTATCCAGGTGTTTAAACTGCGCTCAACAAAGGCAAGTTCATTTGATAATTGTGAATTATTGGAATGCAGGAACTAAATACTGCTGAAGATTTTATTTCATTTTATCAAGAAACATTTCCCTTGGTGCAAACTCTGCCACAAATTATAGTACAAAAGGAAGAAATACTCTCCAAACTCCTATCTCGACTACAAATGAAATGCAGACTATCACTTGAGCCAATACTCAGGTATTTTTGCATATTTGGATTTGTTTAAGATACTTAAGAATTACCTTGTGGTAACTAATCCTATTTATTCAGGTTTTAGAGTTTAGATATGTCTTGGTTTAGCATTGTACTTTTACCTCCAAAATGTAAAAAGAACTGTTATAGGTTTGTAGAGGAACTTATGTTGTAGTGAAACGTATTACTGCACGAAGCATGGACATCGTTTTGTTGTCTAGAGAGTTTGGTGATGAAGAAAAACTTCATTGTTAAATCTTTCCCAAGTTTTGTAGGATTCTTATGTATAAATCAAGCTCCATCTCTAAAGGGTATATGGAAAAATCTACATAGTCAATTTGAGTATTCTCACATTCAGAAATGTTTGTTTTTTGATTTATATTTTGGTTAAGTTCTCACTCTGCTCAATATTAAATCACACTATGTCTGCAGGTTGATAGCTGCACTATCCAGAGATCTTTTGGAGGACTTTTTGCCGTATGTGCCTTTAATGCCAATTTATTCCTTTTTCTATCTTTCTCTTCTTGTTATTTCCAATATCTTATCTGCACGTTTTGCATGTTTTGGTGGTTATCTATTAATTTGCTCTCTTCGTGGGACATATGTAAACCACGCTGGTGATACTATTCTTTTGCTGATGTGAAAAGCATAGAGAAAGAAATATTATTATGAACCTTGGTCAAAGTTTCATGTTTTTAGGTGACCTATGTTAGTCTTTGATTTGAGCTTAACTCTGAACAGGTCTTTTGAATGTTATGGTAACTTGTAGAGAGCAATTGTGAAATCCATGTTTGTTCGGGGGAAAACAATGCTAAAATAGCACTTCATGTAGGTATAGCATGTTAGATCATGGAATAAATGTAAAATTTTCTTTGTTTAAGAAACTAAATAAAAAGAACATACTTATATGGTGGATTCCTATTCTAAATCAACTAAGAAGTAAAGTACATTGGAGTGATCGCGACTGGAGCACTTGAATTTATGTTGCCATCATAAACCATGAAGATTCATTAGTGAGTATTATCCAGCATTATCATGCCATCTCTTCAGTTGGATTTAATTTAAACTGATCTTATGTGTGGTAGTTTTGATTTTATTAAATTAGAGCAGCGAACTCAACTAAGTGCTTGTTTTGGTTGCATTTTGACATTGATATGCTATCAGTCTTAGATATTGCTGCCCCTAACGCGGTTGCACTACATTTTTTCCCCCCCAGATTTTGGTGGGATTCCTTCAATTCGTGATGAGATTTAATTTACATGCAATACCCATGTTGTGATTTTCTTCTTTGCCTTTTTTCTTTATGGGATCCTAGGTTTCTCCATCAAATTGTAAAATCTTTAGTATCTCTTCTCAAAAGTGGTGCCGATAGGGAGCCAGAGATAGTTGAGCAGGTGATGTCTCTTAACTTGTTCTCTTGGGATGTTTTGAATTCGATGCATCATGTAATACTGAATTGGATTTTGAAACTCTTCTCTTTAATTTCTTCAGATCTTCACATCGTGGTCATCTGTAATGATGTTCCTACAGAGATATCTGATAAAGGATGTTGTTCACGTTATAAAGTAAGTAATAAGACTTAATCATTTTGGCTGACTCTACATGAGCTCATTATTTTACTCCTTTAAATGTCTAAGTTTAGAGAACATCATGCATTTATTGGTATCTGTACTTCGGAAAATTGCATCTTTTGTTCTATTGTCATTGGAAAATGCATTAACTGTTGGATTCTGTCATGGGGGCTTGAATAGTAGATTTTACTTTTTACCACATTCAATTCATAAAGTGTACCTGCATCTGCTATTCTGATATTATTATCTGTTCTGTTTCATCGAGTTGCATGGGTGCACCTTTAGCCTTGAACGTTGTACACTCTCTTGTTGTTTTTGTATGCTGTGCTACGGTGAAATTGAGATATTATCCACATGATGATGTAAACTCTCTCTTTGTTTTTGTATGCAGTGTTACAGTGAAATTGAGGTATTATCCACATGATGATGTACAAAGATTAATGGCAGAGTCCATTGCGTTCTTATTGAGGAATGCCCCTGTCGAGCAGGTTATAAAAGGTAATACCCCATCCTTGTGGCATTCTCTCCCGTATTAAGCAGATGATAAATTTATAGATTCAACCTTATTATTAGTCTCTTACATTTCTGGAAAAAAACTTTTTTGTCCTCTTCCCCCCAAAGAGGGCCTTAAATATCTCAAATATTCTGGAGCTAGTGCCAAGTGCTTTTGGGTTGACTATAGTTCCCCTTGTGTCATTGCATGTTGGTGCTTGAATTATTGTTGGAGAAATTGCTGAACCATTATTGATTGAAAATCTCTGTTGTACTCCTCATGCAAGCAATTCAGTCTCATGCTCAGGGGTCCAAATGCTTTTTTCCTATTGACCCACTTCTTTTGGAAGTAACCCTTCAACTATTTTTGAGAAAGAGATGCCTAATTGATTTGTGTATTCATCCAATTGAGGATTGCTTCTCGACTTCTGGCACAATAGGCTGATTTCAGACAAGTTTCTTGAGTTAGATTGTAAGTGAACTTCTATGGTACAGAATGAGTGAACTTTTGAACATTGAACAGGTATTAGGAGAATTATGATTGAAGTCGTGAAGAAACCATCAGCTACAAGAAAATATGGTGCATCTGAATTATTGTTGTATGTTATGCGAGGAACATCATCAACATTGCATTCTAGGGCTTCAGTTTTGTTGGGATTTTTACTAGAGAAGTCCTTCTATGGAAGTGGTGATGAACTCTTGGAAGGTGGGATCTCTCAGCTTTTTCTTTTTTATGCTTTAATAGTTTGCACTATCATGTGATTGTAGGCTGTATGAAATGCACCTCTTGACATGGTAAATGGTTTTATCTTACTTTTTTGTTGGGTTTGAGAAATGGTTTTAATGAGTCACAGTAATATGTGAGTTGTTGGTTGTATAGTTTTTTAATCCTTTTCTTTTTTCCTCCTCTTTTGAAATTATTTCCCTACTAGTTGAAGTGGGACACCAAAACAGTTAAGCTAAACATGCCCTTGAGGGCATGCTTCTCTTCGTAAAAGTTACATATGCTGCAAATTTGTATCGACAAAGTTAGCTTTCATATGCGTCACCATTTTTGCAGTTATTTTCTTTGCATATAGTCCTGTAGTTTTTTGTATATATGTTTTTAAGTTTCGGATGGCACAGTGTGAAGAATACGTCATAGCTGAATTTTGGTTGTGATACTGGTAGATAAGTTTATTTCCTTCTCTTGAATTTTCTTGGTGATTGCAGCCTACTTGATTTTATGTCCTAAAACTGTGTCAAGTTTGAACTTTTGCAAAGTGACGAAGTTATTTAACACTCGCTGGATGGAAACTTAAATCTAGATTATGGTTATAAACTTAAGAGGAACAATGCTGTAGAGAGTAAATAGTTTCTTGGGCCTTTGAACTTAAATTGCTCATATTTGGTAGACTAACTGAGGAAAGATTCTATAGTCGGTAAATAGCTTCTTAGGTTTAGGGAAGTCCAAGGACTTAAATTGCTCAAATTGGTCTTGAAGTTGTCACATGATATGGTTTACTTATGGAACCAAAAGGGATGACTTAACTGAATTAATTTTGTTCACTACCAAAAACTTGTGAACCTCCAGACCTTCCCATGCTAAGAACCATCTGAGGATGAAGATGAAGCTAAAAATTAAATTCTATTGAAACATGGACATGCATGTATCGAAAGGTCAACTTAAGTTAAAATAGATTATGAATGACTGGAAGGACTTCGGAAGGATCCTAGCAATAAGTGAAAGTTCTTTCAGAAATATGCGGCTTTTCTTTGCCAGAGTGACTTTTTGAATTGGATTTCTTATACTGATAATCTTAAATTGGTGGCTTCTTATTGTTCTCAATTTTATAACTCTCAATTGAAGTTCTAGAACGTAAATTGGTGGTTTCTTACGCTGGTATTCTTAAATTGGTGTCTTCTTATACGGTTAACATTTTAAGCTTGTAGCTGGCGGCAAATGAGTCACTTGTTTTCGGTGGAATTCTTCGATTGCCACTTGAATGCCGTACTTAAGATTTAAAATTCTTGATTGCAACATTATGCTAAAGGGTAAGTATAGAGTATTTAAGTTTTTACAATAATCATCTTCTAATAACATAGCTTCAACTCTCGTGGTACAAGAAAAATGTTCCCTGTATTAGGTGTTATCTTCTTCTGACAGTTTAACTTTATTGCTCAAAATCAATAGTCGGGTGATTACTTCAATTGCTTTTTATTTTTAGTGATTAGCTCTTAGAAACAATTTTGATTTGTATTATGCCATGTATAGTTGGTTAATGTCGGTGGTGGATGCTTAGAACTAATCTAGTCTTGCCTTAGTTTCATTAGGTTTATAGTCCACCTGAAGATCTCTATTGAAAAATTATGGACATTAGATACGATTCATGTAGCCTATCTGACATGGTGGGTCAAAGGCTCGGTTGTAAGAGCTGTTGTCCGTATATTCATGTTAGATTTGTCTTCCTGATGACCTTAGTATATGTGAAGCAGTTTTTCCCGCTTGTATGTCTTGATGTTAGATCCAATTGTTTATCAAATGTCTGTCCCTTTCTGTGAAAATTTCTAGTCCCTAAATTATATATTTTATTCTTCACGGTTCAAACATACTTGCCCGTGATTTATTTGGCTATCTTTATTCATAAGTGCATCATTGCAGATTCCGAACCTTTTGCTGAAGTTCTCATCTCTACTTTCGAGGCATTGAGTAATAACTTGGGGCCCGTGGCTCTGCATATGTTGTGGGATTGCTTATATGGTGAAATTGTGAAATCAATAAGCAACGGATACTCGGAGCATCTCAGTCGACTCCTTTCTCTTCTTGTTTGTATTGTTCGGAATGGATATATGAAGAAAGTCAATGGTGCGCATTGATTTCTTTTTCATTTAGTTTATAGTTACTTTCTCCTCTTATTTGAATGATGATGATGTCTATTGATCGATACAATGGCGAAATATGATCTGTATAGTCGACCCCGCATTGTTGAAAAAGGCTTGTTGTTGTTGTTGGTTTTCCTCCTCTTTCTTGTTTTCTTTCCCTACTGTTATTGCATGTTGTCTAAGATTGTCTTTCTTGGGTGTGCAGATTATAAACCTATTTGTGAGCTGCTCAGTTTGCAATTGCAAACTTATGTTACACGTGATTCCAAGACTGGGGAACCTGCAATGAATGTACTAGTGAACAGAGTTTATCAGTTGTTGATTTCCATCATAGATGGCCTCAGAGATGATGCTCTTGCTGAGATGTCATGCCTGTGCGGTCCATTATTTAGCTTAAAAACTACCAGGTAATCTGTCCAAGACAATGTACTTGTTTTATTGAATCATATTAGCCAGTTTCTACAAGTGAAGATAATCCCTCTCTATTTTCAGACAGTTGTGTGTTTGTGTTGGTGCATGTGTTCTTGACTCTTTTTTGACGTGGTTACAGTTTGCTGATTTTCCTAAGAGACCTTGTGTTAAGAGATTCGGACATTCTCAAAGTCTTCAGGATCAACATTGTTAGGTATGTACTTATGTTGTTCTGCATGGCTGCTTACCCTTTTTGGTCTTGTTGGTTGCTGGTTTGGTCAGCAATATTCAAGAAACTTAAAAGTACTACTGGTGATTTTGACATGTTCCTATTTTCAATTTCAGTGCCTTGAATGATTTGGTAGACCTGTCAGAGGAGGAAACAGTATACCTACTCCTACGACTCATTGAGAATCTTCAAATGCCTTGTTCCAGTTTCTTAGATGGGATAACCAAAGAAAGGATGTCAAAAATCTGCGGCTTTGTTCGAAATACAATCATTGATTGGATAGGAATGATAAGAGATACAGTTGGCCGGGATTTTTCTTCGTCGCAGTTTGCAGATAGTCGATTGGCTCTCCTGTGGGGCGCTATTAAATGCTATCCTCATGTGTCCATGGGTCAGGCTAATCCGTCGTTACTGTTAGACATCATAAATGCACTGGATGAGCTTCTGATGGCGGAATCTGATTCAAGTACTCTTCCTATACACTATTTTCTTGAGTTCTGCATGAATTTTATGATCATGTGCATCCCATTAATCATGTAGATGTTCTTTTTTCTTTTTTTTTAAAAAATAATTCTTTTTGTAGATGCTTTTAGCATGTTTTGGATTTTTGCGAGGCATGCCTGAGATTTCATATTTTGTAATTGTGTTCAGGAAGATAGTACAATAGTTTCATACTGAAGTAAAGAATTCATGTTTCAAGATAGTGGCTTTTTTCATATGATTAGACACCAAATATTTTACTGCAATTAAAAGGGTGATATTGGTGAGCGTTAAGTTTATGTGGAGTTTCTGATGTTAGAAAGTCTTTTCAAATTATTTTGAGCATGGGGATACTTAGAAGAAGTTGTGTTCTATGTTTGATACAATTGCAGGTTTATACCGGAGCAATTGGCAGAGCCTTATTGGTGCTGCTTTAGGTTCTTGGAAGGACATAGTCTGCAGCAATGGAGTTGTTGACGAGGAGTTTCTAGTAAGCAAATTGCTTGATCTTTCCAAAAAACACCGCACATGCTCTCAGATACTGGGGCCGATAGCTGATATCCTGGATTCAATTTTTGGGTAATTATGCTGCACACAAGTTGATTCTGATTGTTTAATCTCTCTTGGAACTTATATCTTTTCATTTGTTGCACGGAGTTTTCCCTAGATTGCAAACTGTTGTCAGCTAATTCTAGTTTTCTCTGACCCATCAGCTAAATAGAATTCAAAGTCTTCTGATATACTTTTTGCTAATAGTCCCATAAACTAAATAGCCGCAGGTTCCTTTGGAATGTTTTTTAAACAAAGTTATGAATTCAAAATAATGTTTGTAAAGCAGACTTTGAGAAATTGAAAGCAGCATAAGTGCATAAAAATTAACTTTTTCTTTGGCTTATAAGGGTTGTTTTTATTAACTCTTTTTTGTTTGCAATGAAGATTGTCAACCCAGGTTGGTACTAACCACAGAAGGTACCATCCCCTACTTCAAGAGTCAGAGACTAGCGATGCACTAGATCTGTATGTAGAAAATCTTTGCCACTTTGATCCATTGCTTCGGAAAGCGACACTTAGAATTTTATGCCACTATGAACCTCTGAAGATGGAATCCTCTCTGAAAGGACACTCGAATGATGAAGACAATGAAAATGTTTTGCCGAAGATTGATGTTCATGACCAGGTACAATAGAATGATCTGTGTATTGGCTTACGGTTTAGGTTTATGTTTATGTTCTGTTTTTAGTGTTATTGCTATTACTTTGTTGTTTTGCTTTGGTTTCTTATGATTTCTTTTTTTTTTTTTTTAAATAAAAAAATTGGGTGAATGATTTACAGTGGCTAATGTTACGAATTTTTTACTGTCAGGTTCTTGAGGATCTTCTTGCTGTTGAAGCAATTGACCTTTCAACTACAAGTAGGAAAGGTGAACTTCTATTGTCCAGGATTCAGAGGAATGTATCTTCGAAAAGGATAAATGAGACTTATGTCCCAGCTCTTTTGTATGGTATGATTGGTATCTTCCATAAGCAGTTCAGTAAATTCTGGGACCCAGCAATGGAGTGTCTTAGTCTTCTGATAAGCCAGCATTTTCGAATAGTATGGGACCGATTTATTCGGTATATGGATCGTTGTGAATCGATGTTTCTGACATCTCCTGATGACTTTGGCAGACATGGTCCTGATGGAATGAATTTGCCAAGTGGTATGTGCAAACATAATGACATCTGATTTCTTATAGAAATTTTCCTTTTGCTGTGCTTCTTGTTTTTGTGACTGGCTATTCCAAACAAGATCTAATGCACCTGCAAGAGGAATGAATTTCCTTGTTTATTTTTGGGATCTACCTTCAATTTTCTTCCTGATACTTATGCTTGTACTGTTACCAATTTTATTGATTGTTAGATTTGGTTGGATACTTCAAGTCTTTTGTCAGTTCACAATCTTGTAGCCAGCAAAGTGTTACGGTTTTTTCATTGCTGATCAAGTCACTACAAAGAGTTCCATCTCTTGTCGAATCTCATTCAGAGCAATTGATACCTTTATTTTTGAAGTTTCTGGGCTATCATGTCACGGATTTGACGAGGTGATAATGGCTGGGATTAGTTAAATGTTTTACATTTAATGCATGAAATGGATTTTATATTATATAAGCACGTATGACCATTGTCTGACTTATATGAGATTGCAGTGTGGAGTTGTGTAAATTACAATGCTCTAAGCGTAAAGAATGGAAGGAGGCTCTTAAAGAGTGGTTAAACTTATTCAAATTGATGCGGAAACCAGAATCATTACATTGCAGTCACTTGTTAAAAAAAGTTTTGGAATATAGGTCAGTGAAAATCTGCAATTTATATTGGTTACGCTTTTGTTCGTGGTTTTCTGCTGTAAGTTCACTCGTAAATGTTTTATGGGTAAATATTTGTCAAATCAACATTTGTTGGTCTCTTTGGTGGTCTCCAGGCTTCTTGATGAAACTGATCCTGAAGTACAGTCAAAGGCTCTTGATTGTCTTTTGAACTGGAGAGATGAATATTTAGTGCCTTATGGTCAGCATCTGAAGGATCTGATTAATGCAAAGAATCTGCGAGAGGAGCTAACAACTTGGAGCTTATCCAGGGAATCAAATCAAATTGATGACAAATACAGGAAATTTATTGTGCCTATCATTCTCAGGATATTGGTTCCAAAAGTTAGAAAACTAAAAGGTCTAGCCTCTAGAAAGGTACTCTTTTTTGTAGTTTTTCTTTTAATGCTTCTATTTTTTGATATCATCTGTTTTGATGATACTAATTATGATTTCTTCCTTAGCATGCTAGTGTACAACAGAGAAGGGCAATACTTGGATTCTTAGCAGAGCTTGATGTGGATGAACTTCCTCTGTTTTTTGCCTTGTTGATAAATCCCCTGCGAATTACTTCAGATGGAGCCAATGTGACCCAAAAATGGGTCATTATGTCACAGGAAAGCATTCTTGAGGAATTTGGATTATTCAACAAGGAATTTACTGTGGAAAGTGTAAAGCTTATATCTTGGAGGAAAAGATTTGGTTTCTTGCATGTGGTTGAAGAGGTTTTGTCTGTATTTGACGAGTCACGGGTTAATCCTTTTCTTGATCTACTAATGGGCTGTGTTGTACGGATATTGGAAAGCTGCCCGGCTGCTGAACCTAAGGATCTATCTCAAATTGATTCTGACATCAATGATCGTGCTTCTCAGGATGATACTGATGCTGAGAAGAACATAACGGTACGCTTGAGATAATGTTTAAAAGTTTTGTTATTGCATGTTTAGAGAAGTTTTCCTCACTAGGTTAATGCAATCATACTGTGGAAGACCCTAAGGTCAATGCAATCATTACCATCTTTTCTAATTTTTCATTTAACCCTTAAGAAGACCTAAAAAGTCTCGGAAAGAGACTATGCAAAATGACATGATTTTTTAAATATGTGAATCAACCAAGCATGATGTATGATCCATATAGCCCACCCCCACATAGTTGGGTGAAGGTGCTTGCAATGCAGAATTACTTGCTTGCTGTCATAAAGATGACGACTACAACGATGCTTCTAAAAAAGTGAGGTATGGTCTTGAAGTCGGGAAAGCTTGGTTATCTGACCTTGGCTGGTTTCCGTGCCATGTGTAAGGAGTGAATCAGAGCCTATAACAAAACCCATTCTCAGGCTTGTTGCTGTAATATATATCCAGTATAAAATATTGCGACTTAATTTAGGCAAATTTTACATTGTTTTCTCAATATATTTCCATTTTTAATCATCATACAACTCTACTGTGCTACAGTATACTTGAGTGGATTCCTTGTCTATACAAAATCTACCTCTCAGGTATATCTAATCAGTGATTTGGTTTGTCTGCAGAGGGACATGGCCGTGAAACAATTCAAGGAATTGAGATCCTTATGCTTAAAAATAATATCTTCAGCAATTGTCAAATATGAGAATCATGAATTTGGTTCTGATTTTTGGAATCATTTCTTCATAGCACTGAGATCATTAATTTTGCACTTTAAGCAAGTCGGTGCAAGCAGCGAGAAGCCGAGTTCATTGTTCTCTTGCTTCCTTGCTATGAGTAGAAACTTCAAGCTGGCCCCCTTATTGACTAGGGAGAAGAATCTCGTTCCTGATATATTTTCAATGTTGGAGGTCAAAACAGCATCTAACGCGATTATATTGTCTGTTTTCAAGTTTGTGGAAAACTTGCTTAATCTTGCTCTTGAGCTGAGGACTGAAGAAAATTCTGTTGAGAAAGTGTTGCGCCCACACCTGAATGTGCTTGTCTCTTGTTTGCACCAGCTGTTTACTCGTGGAAATGGGAAAAAAAGGTACAATAGATTTATTAATTAATGTGTTTTGGGTGTATTCCATCGGTTGATGGTAAGCATATCAGAATTCACATAATTTGTTTCTTTGTTTCCTTCACTTTTAAGCTCTTTGAACCTACTGGGGCAAAAAACTCTTTCATTCTTGTGTCAAATATTTGTTATATATATGCTTTTATTTAAGGACATTGAATTTTCATTCATGGATCGCTATTGAATTTGACGACGTTGTTCACAACTTTGGTAGATGTTTAACCACTTACTCGCATGGACCTTTACTGCCTGTTTTATGTATATGTTGAAATTTTTCTAATTTACTAATTTGTTTGGCGCCAAATTTGATACTGTACATTTCTATGCTCTGTTAAATCAATATGTTACTAAACTATTCTTGTTCTCCACTTTGCTGTGTATTGCATTTTACGCTTAATGCACATGATACTATGTAATCCGTATGAATCATGCTTTTGGGTGTCTTAGTCCTGCAGAATGGCATAGACAGCTGTTACTTTTTCTCTTCACTTCTGAAAAGTTTTTAAGATTTACATTTGTTTTCTTGGTTACAGTATTGTTGCCAACTTCTGTGCGTACGAATGTTTTCTCTATCATTAAACAACAAGCTGTATTAGATTGGTCTGGATTAGTAATGATTAATGAATGTGTCAGATAGGAAGTGGGGTTAACACATATATGTATGAGAACATTAGAGAATAACGCTTAATGCAGATAAAAAAATGGTATCACTAACTCGATTCAAAATGAGAATGGCAAAAAGAATTGGAAAGAAATACTTAAAAATGAAATACTTAAACAAGACATGGTCTGTTGAAATTAAGTGAGTGTACAAATGGCAAGCTATGATCCATGTAGTCGCCCTCTACATTGTTAGATATGCTTAATTATCGTTGGTGGTGTTTTATTGAGTAAAATACATTTGATATATTATTGTATTTGATTTGCTTTAGTTACTGAATTGGGCGCATCTGGTACTAAATGTTTCCATGTAAAACTTGTTGGCAAGAAATTACATATAAAGCAGATAGAAAATCTGACACTATGCATGGTGAAAAGATGTAGAATTCATGTTGGTATAATTAGATTCAGGAATCAGGGAATATAAACCCAAAGAACCGTTAGTTGGAAGATGTTCTAATATGGTCCCTATGCCTGTTACCATGATGTTATTAAGTGGTCAGTTATCATCCAGTGATGTCAACTACATTACTATGATGGTTTGTTATCGTATTTCGCTTTTGAGGGATGCCTGTTTTTGTGCGTTTTAGTACTTTGATTGAACTCTTTTTGCTAGTTCAATACTTTCAAGCAATGGTTTTCTTGATTATGCACTGCTCTTTTCTGTGCAACATTCAGGAATCTTTCAGGGATTGAGCTCAGGGTATTGGACTTGTTATCTCGTTACATAAAAGAAACTCTTGAAGCAAAGATGTTTCTGGATATATTGCTTCCACTTCTGGATAAGAAATCCTGGAACTCTGGTTGGTAGTGCTTTCTGATTTTCTTCTGAAAGCTTTATTATTGTTTTTTTCAATTCTGTGTGTATACTAACTCTCTATCCATTCTTCCCATCAGATTCATACTTGGAAATTTTAAAGATCATTCAACATGTAATTGAAGTTGTTGGAAGTGAAGATAGTCCGAGAATACTATCTGCAGTTCAAAACTTGCTTACTTTTGCTGAGCTGGAAGTCAGGAAATCCATTTGTGATGTTCTTAATGCTCTTGCTAAAGTTGATTCGGATGTTCTATTTGTGGTAATATTACCTTCTAGGGCCAACTCCATTTATTTAATCGTATTTAGTTATGTTGACTAACCTCTTCCAACTCCCTTTTTGTAGGCCAAGCTTTTAACTGAATTGAATGCTATATCTGCAATCGAAATAGACTCCCTTGATTATGATAAGATTATCGGTGCTTATGAAAAAATCAATAGAAACTTTTTTTGTACTGTATCGAGGCAGCAAGCATTGATCGTGTTGTCTCATTGTGTGTATGACATGTCATCTCAAGAGTTGATTTTGAGGCAAAGTGCGTACCGTTTGTTGCTTTGCTTTGTTGAATTTGCTGCGGAAATTCTGGAGGAAAAGATTAAATCTGATAAAGGGTGGACTAAAGAGCTTGTTGAGAAAAATATGAAGAATTTTCTTTTGAAGCATATGGGAAATGCTATGAGAAAAGAAACTTCTATTCAAAAGGTTTCATTCTTGAACTCAAAATCCATTTCTTTTAAATAAAGTCCTTTATTATTATGTAGAATGAAACTTCTGTTGCTCATTTCAGGTTTGGATTGATTTACTTCGAGAAATGGTCTTGAAGCTCCCCGACGTGGTTAAGCTCAAATCCTGTATAACTTTGCTCAATCAAAATCCAGAAAAAGATTTCTTTAGCAACATTATTCACTTGCAGGTAATTTCAGAAGGTGTTGATGTTCTGCATAAAAGCTTAGGTGTTAATTGATGTCAGAATTTGTTACAAGCATTTGATGTTTATTATCTGACAAGTTATAGTTTAACAGTAGCATTTTCTTCGAAAACGCTGAAATCCCCAAGCTCTATTAGGTCTTTTAAGGTGTTTGTCATCTTTGGGCTTATCATGTAGGACTTCTCGTCCTGATTGCAGTCGTTCATTATACTTAAGAATATTTGTGGATTCATGAGAATGCCAGGTCCAGGTCTTGAATTTCTCCCAAGTTCTTTTCTGGAACAGAAAATGTCTTTTCTTTCGAGTGGTTTAGAATGTAGACTCATCTAAGAAGAATGAAACATAGCTTTAAGGAGGTGTTTAGCAGGTCTAGTAAGTGTTTATTCCATTAATTGTTTAGACACTTTGTAGGATTCAGGTAGATGATTTAGGGGTACAATGTAAAGTTAAGGACACTAAGTGCATTTTGTTAGATGTAGTTCTGTATTGTTTGGTTTGGTCTAAAAAGATTCCAGTTTCTTATGCCTACATGGTATTATTGTGCAGAAACACAGAAGGGCTAGGGCTTTGTCTTGGTTTACACTGGCCAACAGTTCAGGAAATCTTCCTGAGGTACTTGTTACTTTTATCGTTACATCTTCCCTTTTTTCTCCCTCTTCTCTTTAGTCTCTGTTAACCTGTATTTCTTTGACCTTCCAGGATGTTACCGAAAAAGTGTTTCTGCCACTTTTCTTTAATTTATTATTTGGTGTACAAGAAGGGAAAGGTGAAAATGTACGCAGCGCATGTCTGAATGCCATTGCATCAATTGCTGGCTGTATGAGCTGGAGAGAATATTACAAATTACTTATGCATTGTTTTCGAGATTTGACTGCAAAGCGAGAGAAGCAGAAGATTTTATCAAGATTGATCAGCTGTATTCTGGACAATTTTCATTTCTCAGGAACTTGTATGATTAATGAGCCCAAGGATAGTGCAGAAGATTTGGTTTCTGAAAGTTCCAAAATGGGGTCTTATGGTACTGAGTTGGGGCAAGAATCCACGATACAGACTTGTATTCACAAACAGATGCTTCCTAAGGTACAAAACTTGCTGATATCTGATCCCAATAATGTCAATGTCACTGTCTGCCTGGTTGCTCTTAAACTACTTAGATTACTCCCGGGTGAAATTATGGAGTTGCAGCTTCGTAGCATTATTCAGCGCATTTGTAACTTTCTTACAAATCGGCTGCAAAGTGTTCGGGATGAGGCTAGATCTGCGCTGGCTGCTTGTATAAAGGAGTTAGGACTGGAGCACCTACAATTTATTGTCAAAATTTTGAGAGGCACTCTTAAGAGGGGATTTGAATTGCATGTTCTTGGTTTTACTCTCCATTTTGTGCTGTCAAAGTTTATTACAAACTCTAAAGTTGTGACATTAGATCATTGTCTGGAAGATCTTCTTGCTATAATAGAAAATGACATACTTGGTGATGTTTCTGAGGAGAAAGAGGTGGATAAAATTGCTTCAAAGATGAAAGAGACAAGGAAGCAGAAGTCCTATGAAACGCTTCGATTGATTGCACAAAATGTCACATTTAGTCTTCATATAAAAGACCTTCTTTCTGTCATTACAGTTCATTTGCAGAAGTCGCTGACTCCGAAACTGAAGTCTAAACTGGAGAAAATGCTTAACCATATTGCAGCTGGTATTGAATCTAATCCTTCTGCCGACCACAAACAGGTATTCACATTTGTGCAGTATGAGCTTGAAAAGGCAATTGGGTCTAATGCAGGGAAGCAAGATGGAGGTGTAGGGGATACCTCTAATATTCACTCAGATAAGGTAGTTGATGTTGGAAGCAGACATTCTCACCTTGTTACTGTTTTTTATCTCGGATTGCTTCAAAAACGTATCACAAGAAAGAAAGTGGATAGAAGTGATAAGGAACACCTGTCAATGTTAGACCCTTTTATTAGCTTGTTAAGTAATGGTTTGAGTTCGAAGTATGAGACTGTTGTATCTGCATCCCTAAACTGCCTTTCTTCTCTGGTAACTCTGCGTCTTCCAGCCTTTAAAATCGAGGCTGACAAGATTAAGAAATCTTTGTTACTTATTGCTCAAAGTTCATGGAATGCTGGCAGTCCTTTGATGGAGTCTTGCTTGAGGTTGCTGACTGTGCTGATACGCAGGCCTTATGTTTCAGTTTCAGATGATCAATTGCAGATGTTAGTTCAATTTCCGGTCTTTGTTGACTTAGAAAGAAATCCATCTTTTGTGTGCCTTTCACTTCTAAAGGCCATAGTGAGAAAGAAACTGAAATTTTCTGAGGTATATAAACTTGTCAAGCGGGTTGCGGACCTGATGGTAACATGTCAAGTGGAACTAATTCGGAAAAAATGTAGTGAGATTATACTTCTGTTTTTGGGTGGCTATAAGCTCTCGGATAAACTTTTGCAAGAGTATCTTGATTTGTTTCTTTCAAATCTAAGGTGAGTTTATTAACTTTCAGCAATCTTCATGCCAGTAAAATCTATTGGAACTGTTTCTTCATTATGATTTCTCTGATGAATTTTTTTTGTTGCTCGTAGTTATGAACATTCTTCCGGAAGAGAAGCTGTCCTTGAAATGATCCATGCTGTCATCGTGACGTTTGACCAGAAGAAACTAGATGAAAAATCGCAAACAATCTTTGTTCACCTTGTGGTTTCCTTGGCCAATGACCATGATTATAAGGTTCGATCCATGACTGGTGCTGCTATAAAACTTCTGATTAAGAGAGTGAACGATGGTCCACGTAAATCCATTCTTGAATACAGTCTATCCTGGTATATGGGTGATAAACAGCATCTCTGGAGTGCTGCTGCACAGGTAAAGTTTTCCTTTTCTTTTGTCCGAACCTATAAATGGTAAAGTTTGATTATCTGGACCACTAGATACAGTTAGGATGATTAAAATCTTCTTCACATTGTTTAGTCGTGATTATTTATACTCTTGAGTTTTGTTGATAGCATTATAAGAAGGATTTCTTGCTTTGTTCTCTTTACTATATGGTCTAGAACACGGTTGATTCTTAAGTACTTGCTAACACACCTGTTAGATTTTTATTTATTTTTTAGTTGCTTTACTATGCTCAGGTACTGGGTTTGCTGGTAGAAGAAGTTACCGAGCAAGACTTTAAGGAATATATCAGCCATGTCTTTCTGGTGTTGAGAAGAATTATGAAGTCTGGTGTCGTTTTTCTTTTGAACGGACAGCTAGATAAATCAAACGAATCAGCAGCTCCCTTCTGGAAGGAGGCTTATTATTCACTGATTTTATTGGAGAAGATGTTGCACAAATTCCAGACCTTATGCAATGAAAAGGATCTTGAGGTTGTTTCTGATGCTTTGATTGTTTTATTTTTGTGTGCTAATTTTGTGTAATTTTTGGATAATATATGAAAACCTTAAAATCAACTTCATCTCTGCTTGTTTTATCACCACCCTTCATGGCATGATAGGAGAACCATTATTTGGTGGTACTTTGGAATCTTACTGAAAAGATGAGTCTGTAGTGAATTAGGGATTGTTGATGTATAGATGTACCTTATATTCAACACGAATAAGTTGAACTACTTTATATGTTAATAAATGACAGTATGAAGCACATTTGAACAATCGAATCCTCCAGCTGTAGGTTATGATGGATAATCTGCCAATCGGAAAGTATAACTTTGGTGTTATTTGCCCTTAAAAGCTAAAACTTATGATCTCCATTGGTCTGGTTGTATAAGGAGATAGATTTAGACAATGGCTACAGTGACTTTGCTCAAAAGTTTTGACAAATACAACCCCCTCTCCCTCCCCCCTTTTATGGTGGAAGTTTTTGCTATCTGGTTTCAGCTTTGGTGTCAGTAGGCTGAAACACATGGGGGTTGTTAAAATGGTAGACTTACTTTACTCTATGAAGAATCTCGATCGTCTCTGGAGGTGGTTGAACCTGTCTGCTGGTTATTGTGTTCGCTTGGCAGAATAACTTCAGTTTATGTTGATATTTTTGGGATATGGATTCTTTATCGAAGCCACACTTGTCTGTTCATTTGAGTCATACAGAGTTTTTGTTTGATTGTTGACAAAGTTGGAGAAGAGGAAGGAAGAACTCGACATGTTATTCATGTTCAAGAGCTCTTGATCTTATACGTACGTAGTATTTGTTACATTTGTTGTGATCTAGGTTGACCTTAATTTCTGAAGCTGTTGGCGTGTGGATGGTTGTATTGACCGCTACTATTATAATCTCGTAAAATTCTTGTTTTAATGGGGTGTAGGACTTGGGAATGTAATTCATGAGTGATACGGAATAATAGGTTCACTGTGATGTTTTTCATACATCAACAAAATGCCCCAATAAAGGATTTAGTTATATGGATCAAAACATATATTGTCACTTAACTAGAGTGTTTCATGTCTCCTTTTTCTTTTTCTTTTTTTTTTCTTTGTCCTATTTTTATTTTTTTCCTTTGCCTTCTTGTTGGGTTTTTTTTTGGCTCAGTACTTTATGTTTTCCTATCACCTGGAGAGCATCATTACAAACCTATATTTGCTTCTAAATCTCCATTGTTCTTGAGGTTCATGTTGGCTTCTGTTGTGATTTTTTTCCAGGACTTATGGGAGATGATTTGCGAGTTCCTACTGCACCCGCACTCATGGCTGCGTAATATATCAAATCGTCTTATCACCTTGTGTTTCAAGAACATAACTAAAATTGAAGAAGAGACACATTCACTCACAATACATACACTCACAAGGCCAAGTAGACTGTTCTTCATTGCTGCTTCTCTTTGCTGCCAACTAAGAGCGCAGACAACAGATGATTCTGCAAGAATCCTGATTGCTCGTAATCTGGATTTTGCAATTGTTCGCTTGCATTTACTCCTAGGACAGAGTGGACATGTGGATTTTCTGGAATTCTGGTCTAATCTTGAAGATACTGAGCAAAGTTATCTTTTTAGAGCTTTCCATGTTCTCGATCCAAGTAAGGGAAAAGGCACCCTTGCATATCTCAGCTCTAACAGTAGTGAGCCACATGATGAAAAAACCAATAACTCTGAACATATTCTTGTTTCCCTTCTGCTCAAAAAGATGGGAAAGATATCCCTTCAAATGGAGACTGCACAGGTATGGTGCTCTCAGAGCTCTTAATTAGCTAGAATTTATAATGTTTAGTGATATCATTTTACTTCTTGAGCATTATGCTACCATTAACGAACAGGAATCTGCGTTGTCGTTTAACTCCTTGTCATCTGCATTTACCTAGCAAATTACAATGTTCTTATCTTCCTGGATTCAAGACATTGGAATCCTTCAGTAATTTCTTGTATGTTTTCTGCGCAGACAAAAGTTGTCTTCAATTGTTTCAAGTCAATTTCTTCGACACTTTTAGGACAATACTCAAATGCAACACCAATTTTTGAGGATGATGGGCATTATGCATATCAGATCCTGCTGCCTTTATACAAAGTCTGTGAAGGATATTCAGGGAGAGTGCTTTCAGGTAAATTTTGTTGCCGTTGCTTCACAAAAGTACATACAACATGATTCAACGCATTTAAAGCAGGAGAGGATAGTTTCCTTTTTACTTGATTGGTCTAAATGAGTACTAATTGGCTACTTTTCAAAATGAGTTGGGCGATATGAGGTGAATTTGTAAATCAAATATTGTTTTACTGTCAAACTTGAAGACTATGGTCTTACGAGTTACTTATCAATGTGCAAAGTGAATTAAAGTTGTTTCTGATATGGTAATTTCCTGCCTGTTTTAACACCTGCATTGTCAAAAAATGTTTCCAGAGCGATCTTTATGCTGAGGCATTATTGGACTTCTATCATTCAAAGTTTCATATCTGTGTAGGAAGATGGGATAGTAGTGCAGGATAGCATGTGTAGGGGCTTGTAACTCAAAAGTTTCTTTGCACTAGCATGAACTGTATTTGTTGCTGAAAGCTAAGTTTGGTATTTTTCTGGAAGATAGTTGGATAAATTGAGAAATATTTCTGCTTCGGTGGTGGATTTGTGTTGTATATCTTTTTTTCTTGTTGATATACCTTAGCTCAAGGAATCATTACACTGTGTGCTTAACATGGCAGATGACGTAAAGCAAGCAGCACGAGAGGTTTGCGAGAGCATTCAAAAGGACATGGGAGTCCAGAACTTTGTCCAAGTTTACAGTCAGATACGGAAAAATCTGAAAGCAAAGAGGGATAAGAGGAAACGAGAAGAAAAGCTTATGGCAGTGGTAAATCCTGTGCGGAATGCTAAGAGAAAGCTAAGGCTTGCAGCCAAACATCGTGCTTACAAGAAAAGAAAAATCATGTCTATGAAGATGGGGAGATGGGTTTGATGAGAGTTGAAAGGGCATTGTATGTACTTCTAGTTGTCACATGCAATATTCTTTTCTGAACTGCCAGGGGTTTCTTGCTGTCGGGATGTTTCCCTGAATTGACCGGCCGTGTAGCAGTCTCATCTGCTGCTGACGGACAGTCCTCCCATCTGCTAGCTTGGCGTGTTTCTTGGAGGCAAGCTTGACTCTTGAGCATCCGGCACCACCAATTTCCAGGTTTCTCAACTCATGCTGGAATTTTTGAGTCAGCCACTTTCCCGGATCAATGCTTACTGGAATTTGAGAGCAGCCATGCCCGCTTATCATCTGGAATGTGTAATCAGCGGTGCGCAATTTTGAAGGAAATATTGTAGGTTTAGTGAAAGTAGTTAGTTCGTTTGGTCCATATAGTGAAGATAAATGCCAAGTTGTGAGGACTTATTCTAGTGCAAGGTTAGATTCTCATGTCTGTATCAGTCAATAACCTATAAATTTTCATAATAATTTATTTTTATTCTTTTTTGTTCTTGTGTTCCTTTCCAACTCTACGGTTCTTAAAATCAAACTTCTTTGTTAGAAACAAATAAGGCATAAGAACTTTTCAGAATAAGAACGAGTATCTCTTTAGTATAAATATCAAATGTGAACGAGTAATAAAGAAAGAATCCGGATTCTCATTCCAAATAGGTTCAGGAATTAAAAACCTTGATTCCTTCTTGTTATTCATTTAATTAGTTGTGTTGGCCATGTCAATTATCTGTTTTAGGACATTTTATGCATTGAAATGCATACAATACAACACTTAACATGTTACTTCTCTACAAAAATTTATTACTATTTTTTATATTAATTGAGATTTTTTAAATCGTACTCTTAGAGTTATTAATATGCATAATGCAATATTCCAAAAAATTATTAATTTACGGATGTAGTAATTTACTGGTGACTTTTTAATTTATCGATATATCAATTAGTTAATATAATCTAATATAATTACTAAAATTTTGAATTAGTATGATTAGAATCAATTACTCCCTCTCCACTTTGACCACTTTGAGATTTCACTGGTACAGTTTGAATTTAGTATGATTGATTCAAACCATTTACTGCCTGTTACGATATGAACTTGTACTGAAAGGGAAGGAGTACATGAAATTAAGCACCAAAACTTTTCAAAACAAAGAATGTGAACATTGAAAACAACTAGTGATTTTAGAAATGGAATGACTTTTTGATTCCGAGGTTTTAGCAATAACTCAATAATAATTATTTACTGATAAATTAATATTTTAATTAATGAAAGGTTTTTTTTAATTAAATTCTTTTAATACTTATTCTAGAAAACATACTTGTAGGCTTATAGCAAGTATATAGTCTACCGTAATCTGAGAGGTATCCAAGAAATTGGAATGATGCTTTTTCATATTGTTGGGAGTGCATTATATTAATGTGTGGTGTTGGTTGCCTTTAGGTTTATGTCAAATCTTACACCAAATTGTTTGTTTGCTTAACTAAAATCCCGTGATATTCCTAAAGAAAACATTAGAACTTTAGATTCCACCTCTCTATCCAAAAACAGCTTTTATTTTGAAATGAGAAAATAATAAAAAATAATTTGATTTGGAAATGAAAAAAAAAAAATACTCAAGTTAGATTTTTACTTTTTTTTTTCCTTAAAAAAAAAATGGATGACCGACCTCAATCAATTTTATCTGAATTTGAGCGGAAAATTAAACTTCAGTGACTGTCACAATTAAACGATGATAGTTGTGTATCATTATCCTCCACTTTGACAGAACCAAAAAAGTTAATTAAAATGACACTCACTCAGTTTAGAATGGAGCTTTTTTATATATATATGCAACAACCCTTTCCTTTCTGGTCATAAAAACTTATAGAATTGACATATAATATGCAATACGTAGCGTGGATCATCAATGATTTTGTTTATGAAAACTATATTAGCTAAGGAAAAAAAAACTGCCATGATCTCAATATATGGTTTATTTAGACAATGATATTTTTCCTATTTCCTTTTTGCAACCTGTTATAATGCATTTTTAATCATCATAATTTTTTTAATTTTTTTTTGAAACCAGCATAATTCACTACGCGAATTGATATCACATGTATCATGGGCATACATGGGTTTCGGAACAAAAAGCCAGAAATAGTGGACTTTTGGATTTTATTTTATTTTTTGATTGTTTCATTGGATGAATTTAATATATTTCCGGGTGGTTTATTCAGTCTGTGATACTACTACTTCCTTTTTCTGTTTTAGATTCCAAATCTTTTTTTTTTTCTCTGACTTTAAAAAACTTAACTGACAGATTTCATTAATTTTATTATTATTTTAATTTTTTTTTTCCTTTCTACTTTCTACAGCCCAAAGGCCAAGAATCAAAATCCTAAAATTAGCCTATTTATACATTTTAAAATAAATTTCAAAAGAACCCATTTATCATTGGTATTTTTGAATATTATTAATTATATATTTATATTATTGAATGAAATATTTCACCTCTCTTTCCTTCTCTCTCTCTCTCTTCTCTCTTCCCTCTCTCAACAAGGAGTCTTTTGCCTTTCTTCATTCATTCTTGCAGAGAGAAGAAGGAGAGACGAAAAGCTTCCATCTGGGCTACAATCAACAAGAACAAAAAGAAAAACACCAAATTAAATTAATCAAAAGGGTGTGCAAAGATTTCTTTATTTTTCATCCTACAAAGGAGAAAAGAAAAAAGAAAAGTGATTGATTTCTCGAGAGAATTTTGATTGTATGATATAACATATACCTCGACGGAGTTTCTGTTTCTTCCATGCAAAAACATGGCTAAAGTCATCTTTAGCCATCTACCTTTATGTGGAAGAAAACTCAAAGGTTCGTTTTGTTTTCTCTTTTCATTATGATATAACAATCGAGTCGCGTTTTGTGTTATGGTGATATATTTAATAGGGTTCTGTTTGATTTTTTTTTGATGTTTGGATTTAATGCAGGAATTTGTAGGATACGTTTGTGATGTAATTGGGGGAATCGGAATATTTTTTTAGGGGAAAATATCATTCTTGATTCTCTCCATTTAATTTTATATTATTATTTTTGGTTTGTGGGAAAAAAAAAATGGGGGGAGTATCAGACAATGTAAAAGGGCTGGTTTTGGCTCTCTCGTCAAGTATTTTTATTGGTTCAAGTTTTATCGTGAAGAAGAAAGGCCTCAAAAAAGCAGGATCCACTGGAACTCGAGCAGGTATCTTTTTCCAAATCAAACCCTAATTTCAAGATAATTTCTTGATCCTCCACATTGTGTTTTTCCCTTAATAATTCTCTTCTTTGCCATGTTTTGATCCGATTTTGATTATTAGGGAAATAGTCATTTTCCAGTGTAGGAGACCTTTATATATGCTGAAAGCATCAACAAACTCATTACTCTAATTTTGGGACGAAGTTGTTACGCAATTTTAATTCGTGAATTGTTTTTGGATGAACCAGAATTTTATGTTTTGAATTTGTCCCAAAATTGGGGATTTTATTGGCAAAATAAGGGGATCAAATTATTGCATGGCAATGTAAACCTTTATTTATCAATATTTTGACTAATATTAGTTTTCTTTTTATTTCTGGGTTGGTTAATTAGGTTCTGGAGGATATTCATATTTGCTTGAACCATGGTGGTGGGCTGGGATGGTGGCAAGTAAGTTGTTTGTGTTTGTGTGTGTGTGTGTGTTCATTTCTAGAGCAAAATGAAACCGGCATTATATATTTTGCATTTGTTTTAGTAAACTATATTTCTATGAATTATGTATCGTTATTTTGTTTAATCGACACGTAAATATTTTCACTTAAATTTTATTTGTTTCTTTCAATAAATTTACACGTTTTTTATTTTTAATGTATCTAATAAAGATTTGAATGGGACCGATGACCAACAAGTTTAGGACTAATAGTGCTTGAGGACCACGGAAAATTGATGGTTCTTGCTAGTTACAATTTTAGCAAAAGTATATTCTCTGAGATACAAGTGGCATCTAACTGAACAGATATTTTTATAATTTATTTATTTTTATTATTATTGTTTTCTTGATATCTCTACAAGAAATTCTATACATTTAAGTTTGATGGACAACATTTTTTTTCCTTGTTTTTTTCATGATCCATTAGTTGTAAGGATAGTTTGGGTGGCAGAAGATCATAGGTCTCGCCTTTTTATTTTATTTTATTTTTCCAGTTTTTGAAATTTTAGTTTCATGAAAAAATATTTAATTATCTTATAACATACTTTTGAGCGATAACAATCATAATTTGGATTAATTGATAGTAACTCTTTCCATTAAAAATGTAATAGTTGTAGTAGTTAGAATATTGATACAACATTTTTATATATTGAAAAAACAAAGCTATAAATAATAGTTGTACCTTTTACAATTTTGTGTAATAAGATTTTATGTGTTTTTCCACAGTGATCGTGGGGGAGATAGCCAATTTTGCAGCCTATGCATTTGCTCCAGCAATCCTTGTTACTCCTTTGGGAGCTTTAAGCATCATTTTCAGGTACAGAATCATAGATACATGTATATGCTCCTCTGTCTCGAAAAAAGAGAGTCAGATCATATTTTTTACATCATTTTAATTCGACAAGTAAGACTATTTTTCTGCGACGGGAGTACAGATCCTGAAGATAGAGCAATATTCATGATTGATTATGTTTAAGTAATGTTTATATATTTCTATGTCATTTCTTATGCAGTGCAGTTCTAGCCCACTTCATCTTGAAAGAAAAGTTGCATATTTTTGGAATAGTTGGTTGTGCATTGTGTTTGGTTGGCTCAACCACCATTGTTATTCATGCTCCAGTTGAAAGGGATATTGAATCTGTCAAAGATGTATGGAATCTAGCTACAGAGCCAGGTTTTTTATTTTGTCATTTCTTCTCCTGATCATATCAAGTTTCTCTGAGCTACTTTGCTTTGTTCCCTCTGAAAAGTTTCTGTTTTGATGATACAGGATTCTTGGTCTATAGTTGTATAGTTGTGGTAGCAGTGGCCCTCCTGATTTTCCGGTTGGCGCCACGTTATGGACAGACACATATGGTTGTCTTCATCGGGATTTGTTCGCTTACAGGCTCTCTCACGGTTTGTTTGTTTATATCTATTGATGATGACGATTCAGTATGTTTTGTGCCTTTCAGATTGCAATGTTCCTTAGAATGATTTTTTTTTTTTTTTTCCCTCTGGGAAAACAGGTTATGGGAGTCAAAGCAGTTGCCATTGCATTGAAGTTGTCATTTTCAGGATCTAATCAGTTTAAATACTTCCAGACATGGTTTTTCACTTTGGTTGTCATAGGTTTTTGTCTTCTGCAGCTGAATTACTTGAACAAGGTACTGCAATATTGTCATCTCTGTTCGAACAAAACTTCTTGTTTTTATTTGCTCAATGTCTCCTACTCTCTTTGATTTACAGTCACTTATTGGATTCTACATTGGACTCTTGATTGTTTTCTATCCTTCGTTATCCTGTGGTCTAACAACATTTTTCTTGTCTGTTTTCTAATCACTACGGTTCAGATCATAACCTACGTTGGCTCACTTTATCTGTCTTGCATTAATCAATCATTTGATCTCACAGTCGTAAAGCAGATTGAAAATCGCTTTCATACCTAACCCTTCTTGATTCGCAGGCGTTGGATACTTTTAACACTGCAGTGGTGTCTCCTGTGTACTATGTGATGTTTACATCCTTTACCATCCTTGCTAGCGTCATAATGTTTAAGGTATGTAAACAATCTTTAGCTTTGAGAGCCTAAGGAATTGATCTAAATTTCACAGTTGTAACTGAGAATACTAATTGCAGGAGTGGGATAGTCAAAATGTATCACAAATTGTGTCTGAACTGTGTGGTTTTGTGACGATCCTCTCGGGTACATTCCTTTTACACAAAACCAAGGACATGGGAGGTACAGCTACCGGTTCTAGTACAACAACGCCGTCTCCTATATTCCAGGCATCGCGCCAGAATTCGAGATCAGTAGTGTCTGATGTTTGAGGTTTCTTTTGGCTAAGGTTACACCAACTAACTGCTGAGATATGTGATCCTGAAGCTAAAATGGCTCATAAAATGAATGATGTAACTCTGTTTTGGGAGAAGTGGCACAAAGCTTTTACCATAAAAGGAAAAACAGACTGACTGATGGATCTGAGAATTAGAAATTGAAGAAAGGAAAAAAAAAAAAATATAGGTTGATTTTCTGGTAGAAAAGGTCAATGGAAAGAGTGAAAGAACGTATATACATTTACAATCTACACCATAGTTGGTGTTTTTTTGGCCCTCCACTTTGTTTAAAAGTTTCAGATGGAATTTTTAGTGTAGAAACTAGAAATTGATGTTACTTAGGGGGCTTTTTTTAATTTTTTTTTTAATAAAAAAGTAAAGTAGCCTTGCAATACTTGTTTTTGATTTGTTACATTTTTGTTTTTCTTTTTTATACTCCTGTCCCATGATAATTTGTTTTATTTGTTGTATTAAAAAAATCATATATACATCAAACAAAACAATTGTTTTGAAGTATGGAGTATGGACCAAAACAATTGATGTCCCTTTTATTATTTTGGTGGCGAGAAACAGTTAGTCCGTAAATATCTTACTTAATTTAATGTGTAGCTTGAGTTTGAAAGTAATAATTTGAAAAAATAACTGCGTGTTACAGCATCACTTATTCCACATTTCAAATTTTTTTTTTTTTTTGGAGCGCAAAAAATTTCTATCATGGTTAAACGAATGAATTCGCTTTACTCTTAGTATTCTTTTTTTTTTTTTTCCCAATTCATTGATTCGATAATTGGATTTACCAAAATATAAGTTTCAAAATGGCAAATTAATAAGCAACAATTAAAAATTTAAAATTCAGAATCTATAGCACTACAAGATCTTATTGGCCACTTAAAATTTCGTTCAGATAATGTTCAGGCCGCTCTATTAATAATAGGGAGGAAACCCAAAACCCTCCGATAGAATAGAACCATTGTTAGACTTTCAACTTTGCTTTCACTTCGTTCTCTAGTTTTGTTTTCCTATAACTATACGTAGCCTCATTAAAAGGAAAAAAAAAAAAGAAAAAGAAAAAGAAGTAGCCGTAACAATATACTGTGAGTTTTGGATTATATTTCTGAATTACATAACTTATTCACCCTGTCCCATAAAATTGTCCACATCATAAATAAGAAATTATACTATTATTTTAGTACGATTCACGATTTATAGTATGAAAGAATTATTTTTCTAGAAAGGAATAGAAAAGGATTGTACAATATGTGCTGTGTGTTTGATCCCCTAGCTTATTACACTGGGAAGATTAATGTCAAAATCATACTCGTGAACATTATTAATTTATTTAATTACTTTAGATTAAGTGATGGTTATTATCAGGAGGTCGAGAGTTTGATTATCGCTGGGCCATTCAATTTTTTTTAAAAAAAGTGAGAAACTGCGAACGAAGGCATAATAAATATTGCATTTGTCAGCAAGTTTAGAGTTTTATGATGATAAATGTCTGATAAATTTCAAGTAGTTTAAGTATTAGCTCTAAACTTGAGCTTACGATTACAAATTCCTTTTTTGTTTTAAATTTTTTTTTCATGTTTATTTAAATGTGTTGGATGAGGACCAATTTGGCCAAATGAAGGTATCCAAGAGCTATATTCTTTTCAAATTGTCAAGTCAATAAAAAAGAAACATCAAAATCAGATAAATGAAGAATGAATTCAATGAAGTGTATTAAGGTATTTAAAATAGAAAAATTGTTATTTCCTCGTCTCACTTTAATTGCCCACTTTGTTTTATTATTTTAATTTAACAAATTAAATTTTCTTTTGGGAGTATCAAAAATAAACTTTAATAACATTTTTTACTTAATCTAAATCGGAACTCTATTTACTTTATAGAACGGATAAAAAAAGAACAGCAAAGAAACAGACCAAAATTACTGAACCAGTGGTAAAATGGTGAACTGCAGAAAAGAAAAAGAAAAAGAAAATGCTTTGATAGGCTGCAGTTTTACAAAAAGAAACACAAAAGTCGCTATTCCACCAACGGTGGCTCGTTGCTTCGGACAGAACCCAAATTCCAGTCCGAACGGAGCGACACTCTACTTTCCTTTTCCAAATTCCCTCTTTTGCTTCTTTCCCAGAGAATCCCTACCCAAAAATCAGCCGGAAAATCCAAAATCTTGGACGCCCATTGGAGTCTTCTTCAAGAATCTGCTACCCCGAAGGTCAGTTATTGGTGAGAGATTCTTGATACACTGGGAAATTTTTCGTGGTTTATTATTTGGATTCTTTTATGGGTTTTCTTCAAAATTGGATTTTTTTCCCCCCTGTCGAGTAATTAATTGGTGATTTGTGTGAGGAGTTTAGTGTAATGATGGCTCCGCCTACTCCAAGAAGAAAGAAATGGACTGAGGCAGAAGAGAGGACTTTGATAGATAAATATGGTGATATGGTTTGTGATGGAACTTTAGCTAAAATGAAAACTAGGGAGAAGAAGTTTAGGCCTATTGCTTTGTATGTGAACTCTGTACACAATGCTAGAGACCCTATTGCCTATCCATGGCAATGGACATGGAAAGATGTGTCTATAAAAGTACAGAACATGAGGCATCAGTATTCTTTAGTTAAGCAAAAGATCAAGAAAGCTGAATCTGTTGGCGATTCAGGTGGAGGGGAGGATTTTGATTGGATGGAAGGTTTGACACATTGGTCGAATTTTCTTAGGTATAAGGAGGTCTTTGGAGATGTGGCAGTTGTTTTCAGTAGCAATGATCCATTAGAAATAGCGGGTGTGGGGGATTGCAATGACTATGATGGGGATGTTCATGGGATGGATATTAGTCATTTTGAGCATCTGGGCCATGTAGCTGATGATGACTTTGCACCTGGGCTTGATGGGGTTGAGAATGGCGTTATGAGTTTGGAGTTTGATTATGGACGGGAAGAAGGTGAGGAGAATTATACCGGAGGTAATAGGAGTAATAGTCATGTGAAGGACGATTGTGACAGTGGATTTGTTTATGAGGACATTGAGCCCAGCAATTCTGATTCTAAGAAGAAGAGGAAGGCATCAAAAGGGTTGGAGAAGAGGGCTTGGAGATTTCTTGCTAATCAACTGAAAGAACTAAGGGATATGGAAGCTCGTTTTGAACAGCGTGAAGCTGATCGAGAGCGGGAGAGGCAGAGGAGAGATCGGATTTTGCTAGAAATGGAACAGGAAAGAGAAAAGAAATGGGATGAAAGAGAAAAGCAACGGGAGGAGAGGGAAAAATCCAGGGAGAGGTTGAGGAGACAGAGAATGGAGGAGTGGGAAGCAATGGAAAAGGAAAGCAATGAGAAAGAAAGGAGAAGGAGAGAGGACGAGTTGATGTATGAGAGGCAATGGGAGGAAAGGTTAAATATGAGCAGATCGGAATGGAAGAAAAGGATGGATGACATGTTAAGAGATCACCGAGCAGAAATGAGCCAAATGCAAACACGATTAGTTCATGAACAGCAAAGTCTTACCAGTCAGTTACTTGGCATTGTTTCAACGTGGACGGGTCATCCTGCAGGGCTTCCTGACCATACTGGTGCCTCTAGCCATTATCATCTGTCTCAGATGATGCCAAATTTGGACCATGTAAATGGTATGGTCCATGATGATGCTAGGGTTGAGGAGGATAATCAAGAAGATCAATTTATCGTTGATGGCTAATGCCATCTTCGCGTCTTTTGTTAGAACATTGGATAGCCGAGGTTCTGAAACTGCAAAGGTTTGCATTTTACCAACCCTCTAATTTGCGCTTCTTTGGAGCTTGGTTTCCTCTTGTAGTCTCTCACTGCCCTTACAGTATAGCAGCATATAAGAATATTCTCTGCTACACTAATTTGTAGTAGCTTGTATCCAAATTTCTTGAATAAATCAGCTCTTTTGAATATTATTTGGTCTGTTGTTGCATTTATAGTGATTTTCTTGTCTACTTCAGATATGATGTTGCAACATGATAATGTTGAGCGAACTAGTTCCCCTTCATCTATTTCTTTACTCTACCTGTGCTATTTCAGGGATAACTGGTCTCTTTATGTATTTAATTCCATGTCCAGTTCAGCTGATGAAGGATTTTACTGTGTATCAAATGATCTTAAATGGCTGTATTAAATTACAGTGTTTCTTCAATTAGTGAAGTTGCTGGAAATCAATACTTCAAAGGATATTTTGGGTCGCAACGTAAACCACCTGTTGTGTAATTAATTACAAGGCTAAGCTGTATACTCCTGACCCTAGTTGAGAATATAGTGGTCATATTGATGTTGATCAGTTTATCTTAAATCTCCAAAAGATTGCTGAACTTGTTCTTGGATTTAAATGAATTGTCCTCTAAAACCTTACCAAAGCAAGAGTCATTCATTCTACTGCGGATAATTTCATTAGTTACGATACCTTGATATTGCTTTTGGACTATAAAATGCCTGCAGACTGACATGCCTCACAGAAAGGGTTGGCTGTTATTTGAAATAATCACTTTGATATGAAAAATGGGTATTTTTTGTTGAAGGGTGTATGAACTGCATTTCTAAATCACATCTTGTGGTTGCTCTTGGGTTAGTTATCTTGATCCATAGGTGCTTTTTTTTCGGCATTAGAATCAGTGTGGGAAAGGTATGTGCAGTATATTCTTTTCGGACAAGTAGTTAGTTAAGGTTTGCAGCATCTTGTTCTGAGGTTCTATCGACCGCAAGAACATCCAATTGCCACTCCCTATTCTTTCAACATTTCTGGGAGCTACCCCTTTAATAGAGTGTAATCTGCTGGATCACATCAAGAACTGGAATCTCTGCCCTCTTTCTCTTGGGGTGCTTATCTATGCAGGTGTTTAATTTTGTTGAATGAACTGTGTCATCTTGAAAGGAAAATGGAAATTGTCTCCTTTGTAACTAGGTAAAGTGTGTTTTGAGTTCTATACAAGTTCAGGGACAATCACGCCATGTTCACAGCTATGATTTAGATTTGGCTGCACTATATTTTCTTGTGATCTTCAGTAGTATAGATTATAGAATCACATTATACAGCGGCAATCATATATCTAAAGCTAATAGTGTTCTCTTATCTTTACTTGCAATGCACTTTGGAAGCTGTGTAGTAGAAACTGTATCTTATCTGTATTCATGCAATCATAACTTAGCAGCTTCGAATTAGCACCAAAGAGGTAGGTCAATCTCTTAGGGCATTACAGCCCGCTTGGATCTCTTTGCATCAACCCCGGGTTTCGACATCTTTCCGTGCGGGATGTCTAGATATGTGTTAGAGTAGAAGACGCAGAGATGTTCCTCTTGCAGGTTATCAGAGTTATACTCAATGAGAGGGCAATTTCACAAGATCTTGCTTATTATGTACCTGCAAAATTCATACCATATCTGGTTAACTAATTGGTTCAATTTCGAATCGTTTGATGAAGAAAGGTAGCCCATTACTATCCCTGAAGAAGAAGAAGAACAACAACAAAAATACGAAAGCTGCTTGTTTTTCAGACCTAATTCAAGGAGGAGAATCAAGTGGAACCAAGGAATGGAATTTGATGATTCCTGGTTCAACTCTGAATTTGAACCTTCGGCAAGATTCGATTGGATATGCTTTGATTATCTGCAACCATCAATGAGGAATTTAGAGACTGAAATTTGTTGATTTTTCCGTTCAAGTTCCTGCCTTTTTGATCCTGTAAATTTGGGAAGATTCATTACTCTTGGATACAAATTATAATGCCAAGTTAAACGGCTAGAATATAACTTTGTGCATGTTTCAATATTATTTATTTAATATTTTAATTTCTTCAAAAAAAAAAGTATATTTTAATTTTTTCAAGTTTTTTGGATATCATGCCTCATGCATGTCTACCTGGATTGGATCATAACCATATAGTAATATAGATAGATGTATTTTATATTTTAATAATGATGATAATTATTTTAACATAGTAAATTGAAAAACAAAGGTAATCTGAAGGAAAACAGAAGTTTAATTTTTTTTGTACGTCTATGTACTAATAAATTTATATGGAGATACAGATACAAAAATTGACAAATTCATGTAGATTTGTCCCAAAATCATGTATTACCAAAATATGCTAAAGTTTTTTTTTTTTTTAAATTATAAACGAAAAAACGTAATTTAATTATATGGTTTTAAATTGTTAAATCTAATTTTTCCATTATCAATATTGTGACCATAACTTTACATGTAAATATATTTTATAGTATAAATAAAATAATTTTTTAGAAATAAAATAGTAAAACCAAAATATAAAGAAAAAAAGTAAAAATTGTTTTATAAAAGAACTCACGGGTCAAGACGACCCGGTTTAAGGGTCGAACGAAGTTGACATTATAACCGCGCGTTCCCTGCGTATTATTTAAGCTTCGTTACCGCGCGTTCCCTCGTTTATTCGTTCTTCCCCGCTAAAATCATCTTCTTCTCCTTCATCTCTTAGATCTGGTTTTTGCCGACATACAATTCGATTGCTAAACTCAATTTTCACGCAGTCACGCACTGAAATCTGTCCGCTTCTTCTTCGCCAAAATCTTCCTCTTCTTCTCTGAGATCTGCATTTCGCCCACAAACAATTCGAATCGCTAAACTCAATTTTCACAAAGTCACGCACTGAAATCTGTTTATACTAATTAGGGTTAGGCTTTTCACAGAAATAATGACGGTGGCGATCTCGGATTTGGCTTTGACTCCAGGAACCGCAGGCCTGTCTATAGTGTCGTCTTCTCCCGCTGCTCCTGCGGTTTTGAAACGGAAGAGAATGTTTCCGCTTGCTGGAGAAGAAAAGGTTGAGGCTGGCAAAGTGGGGCAGAATTTGTTAGATGAGTTCGATAAGGACAAAAGAATTCTGATTCCGGCCATTGACGGCGGCGCCGGCATCGACGCGGCCGTTCTCTCGGCGCTGAGGAAGCAGAACCCCTGGAAAGAGGTGGCCGCCGCCAAATTGGCAAGGAGGACTTCTCCCAGATGGTTCCGGTGATTTTTTTTTTCCTTTTTGTGTAATCAATCTGTTCCTTCCAGGTACTCCATTAACACATACTGCATACTGACACAGGTAAGTACTCTGTCCGTCTCATAAAAATAGCCCAGCTTGTAAATTGTGAATTGTATTTAGGATGTGAACTATTTTTATGTGACGGACGGAGTTATTTCTTTCTTTGTTCTCCTCTTTGGTTTTTAGATTTTTGGATTCTGCACATTATTTGATTTGGTTAGTTGTCTTTGTTGGGACTGACTGATTTGTTGCTGGTGGTCAAATCTATAGCCCCATACAAATCCTTTTGCTTTGTGTTTCTGACTCTTTTTTCTCAGCTTTGTCGTGGGGAATTGCAATGACTATGATGGGGAGGTATGAGAGGCAGTGGGAGGAAAGGATTTTTTTGAGCAGATCAGGATGGGATGGAAGATAAGGATTGATGACACGTTAAGTGAACAGCAGAGTCTTACCAGTGAGCTACGCGGTATTTTTTCACAGTGGAAGGGTCATCCTGCAGGGCTTTCTGGCCGTATTGGCGCCTCTACCCATTATCATCTATCCTGGATGATTCCGAATTTGGACGATGTAAACGGTATGGTCCATGATGATGCTAGGGTCGAGGAGGATAATCAAGATCAATTTATTGTTGATGCTTAATGCTAACCTTGCATCTTTTGATAGAACGTAGGATAGCCGAGGTTCTGAAACTGTTAATGCTAACCTTGCATCTTGTAGTCTTTCTCCCTTCCCTGACAGTATAGCACTGAAGGCGGATATTCTTTGTTACACTAATTTGTTGTAGCTTGTATCCAATTTTCTCGAATAAATCAGTTCTTTTGAATACCATTGGTCTATGTGTTGCTTTTATAGTGATTTTCTTCGATTGATGTCTACTTCAGATATGATCTTTCAACGTGATTATATTAAGCACTTGAACTAGTTTTTTGGTAATGATCTGCCTCTGTGTCATCTATCTCTCACTCCACCTGTGCTATGTCATGGATAACTGGTCACTTTATGTATCTAATTCAATGTCCAGTTCAGCTGATAAGAAATTTTACGGTGCATCAAATGGTCTTAACTGGCTCTATTAAATTCCGGTGCTTCTTCGAATAGTGAGGTTGTTGGAGATCAATTCTTCAAATATTGCAACAGAAATAGCTCTTTGTATAATTACAAGGGTAAGGCTGTATACTCTTGGGAATATACAAGTAAGTTGATGTAGATGTTGATCAAATGATCTTATATTTCCTAAAGATTGCTCACACTTGTTCTTCAATTTAAATGACTTGTACTCCAAAACTTTACGAAAGGATGAATGATGGGGACAAATGGTCGAAGAGTACTAAATTTTATATCAGGAGAGGTTCCAAAGCTCAAACTCTTATATGGAATAATCTTAGTTTAAATATTTGTTTCCTATTTAGTTTCTAAGTGTTATTAGGTAATAAGGGAGAAGATTCTGGACTTCCCAAATCAGACTACTAATAGGTTTTGGTTTAAGTCTTTTTATGCCTATAAATAAAGTTGCATCCCTTCAGGGATTTTTAGACGTTGATTAATAAAATTTCTGCAATAAGCTTTGCATTTCAAAAGTTTGATTCAGCTTTAATTCCTGAGGGTGTGACGCCAAAGGTGACTAAGAGTAATTCTTAGTTGGTTACCCTTTAATTTTCCGCTGCAATACTACTTCTTTTAAGCTATCTTTTCTGAGATTTTCTTAAATTTCCCTGCTGGGTACTTAAGATTTCTTAACCTACAATCTGTATTTTAAACACTCACGTTCGTGCTGCGTCAATGAATCAAACAACAAGTCTCATTCATTGTGCTGCTGATAATATGATTAGTTAAGACACCTTGATATTGCTTTTGGACTATAAGATGCCTGCAGATTTGCATTCCCCGCACATATTTGTTGCCTGTTATTGCAAACAGTCACTTTGATATTAATTGGGTATTTTCTTCCAAGAATATATAAACTGCGGATATCATTTCTAAGTAAAATCTTATAGTTGCTCTTGGGTTGATTATCTTTGATCTCTAGGTGCTTTTCTTTCACTGTTAGGTTCATGATTGAAAAGGTCTGCATGTATTTACCTGTGCTTGGCTGCACCCTCCTTCTGAGGTTCCGTCAACAGCAAGACCATCCAAATGTCTTTGCTTATTCTTTCGACATTTGTAGGAGCTACCTCCTTTTAGTGTAGTGTAGTCTGCTGGATCACATCGATAACTGGAATCCCTGATCTCAAGAAAGTTTCTCTTGCCGTGGTTATCGTACTGTTGTTTAATGCTGTTGAATGAACTGTGTCATCTCAAAAGGAAAAAGTTGTGTCTCCTTTCTAACTAGGTAAATGTGGGACAATTACTCCACATCTATAAGCACAGAGTTTTAGCTAGGTTTCCATATTTTCTTGTGAACGATCATATTAGACAGCATTGCCAATTGTGTATGCCAACTCTATAAGTAATCCCAAGATAATGGTGTTCTCTGATCTTTACTTGTGTTGCACCTTGAAAGGTTGATATGTAGAAACTATCTATGTCATCTGCATTCATGTAATCAGAACTTTGCTGCTTCATCTTAACATGAAAAGAATGATGGTTTAGCGAAGAATAATGCCATAATTCAACTTAAAAGTGCTGTGAATTTTAAGAAGGGAAAGAGAAGAAAGCTGTAAAGGTACACAATGAGAGTTTTAACCGAAGAAAAGAGTGGATTAAGAAGAAGAAAAGGGAGCTGTATTGTGTGCGTATTTGAATGTATAGAAATTTAGACACGCGCAAACAAACAAATAAAATAAACCTCGTTCACACGCACTCAAAGCCCAAGTGAAAGCCTGTCGTTGTGTCGTGCAAGTAAGAGTCGATCTCATGAGGATAGTTGTGATTTAAACTATTAAAGTACTTTACCAAACAAAAGAGAAAGGAAATGATGGTGGAGAAGTAAACTACTTATGTCAAGAAAACATAAATAAATAAACAAGTATGGGGAGAAATCAAGATACTCGAAGGTCCTATAAATTGTTTTTGATCAATCCATGGATTTTGATCATTCAAACCATTTTAATTATTTAGTTAACAAGGAAAGTCTCCTTAAAGGATTCTAAGGCAAGTTGCCACCACTCGACCAATTGGCTCAACTAAATAAATTTAGCTCCCGCCTATTAGGTTTTGGTTACTAACCTAGTCTAAGTTATTTATTGTGGGTAAACCCCGCTAAGTAACTCAACAATTCCTATTTTCATTCGGTGTGGACTCACTACTCCAGTATTTCCACGTTGAATACTAAATAGTCAAGTTACTACTACCGTCATCACGGTAAATGTAATTGCCTACCTTAAATATTGTCCGGTACACAATCTTCCATGAAACCATCTTCCAATGGGTTCCTAATCTCACAAGCAATTACCATTCTAATTCATAACCTAAACCACAAATAGAATTCAAAAGCCCATTTAATTTCCACCCAAAGAATCACATGTAAAATTTACTCATCAATCTTCCCTCCCAATACAATCAAGCAAAGCAAACAACAAATAAAAAATCCAAATTTAACACAATAATGAAAGTAACTACTAAAATAAATTAAGAATCCATGGGGTTCTCACAATTCAATAGAAGGGGGTTAACTTGCCATATAAAGGAGAAAGAAACTAAACCAAACAGACGAATTAGGGCTTCAAGACTTGAAAGGATGACCTCCCAATTTCCTTCCCCTTATCTTCATTTCCATGGAAAGTCTTCCCAATGAATTAGCAAACCCACTCCCTCTTTCTCTCTTTTTCTCCCCTTTAGCTAACTATAAGTAAAAATTAACTAAAACTAAAGTAAAGATGTAAATCCTAAACTAAAAAAGGAAGAACAAAGCTAAAACTTATATTAGAATGCTGGAAAATGAGATAAAAGTTCTTAAATTCGTGTACATTGTGCTATTTATAGGGGAGGGGTACATGGGATGAAAGTATAATTACAGTAAAATTATGGGCAGAATTAGTCGTCTTCCAAAATGGAGAATTCATAGACTTCTGGGCTTCGTTTGCACGACGTTTGGAACATTTGGGGCTGAAATTGATAGGCGCTTGAAAGATGTAGCTTTTACTTGCAAGGGCTTCTCGACGCGGGGGGTTTTGCGCAATTTTTGGAAGGCTTCTTCTTCTTCCTCAGGAGCTGAAATTTGCAGCCAGCCGCCGCCGGTCCGATCCCGGCCACCGCCGCCGCTCAAATCTCGCAAACTAGCACCCAAATTCACCCACAATCGACTTATTTCTTCACTTCTTGATTTGTGCTTCCAATACCGTCGATTATCTTCATGTTTTAAAGCTGGAAATGGGCTGCTAAAGTCGACCGTTCAACTCTTTGCCGGATTGTCACCATTGTTGCCGCCATAATTTCACGCCGGATTTACATGATTGAGCCTCCAAGTGCGATAGCTTTTCCTACCTTTCTGCTCTGGTTCCCTTTTGCATTGATTTTAGAATGCTTAGCTCCGATTTCCAGTCCAAATTGAGCTTGTGTGTTTGCTGGAATTTTTGCCTTTCTCAATCGGGTTATTAGGAGTTTCGTCGAGTTTGGCGTCGGAGGTATTAAGTTGACGTACGGGTCGACGACCTTCAGCTCAGCATTCCATTTGCAGGCGTCGACTTTGGCATCGATTAGGTCGAAGTAGACAATTTGGTCGACGCAAAATTACTTGACCTCTCTTTCTAATATGTCAACTTAGATGTCGAGATGGATGCGGCTGACAGAGAGGTCGACGGCTTTGTTTCCACGCGTGAGCATTTTTAGCAATCATGGCTCATTTTGCTCCATTTTCTAGTCTTTTTATACCATTTACTCACACTACAATGATAAAACATAAGACATGAGAATGTTGCACTTTTTAACTCAATAAATCCACAAGAAATGAGTCAAAACTAAAGAAAAACCATGTGAACTCATATGAGATAGCGACTATGTTCGCTTCTCATCAAGCTGTCTATTCTTTGTGATGTTAAGGCAGACGGGAAAATTGAAAATGGCCGGAAAACAGTTGCGATGTTCTGGAATTGATCCGGGCTTTTAGAGAATTGGGCTCAAGAAAAAGAGGACTCAATTTCGGGAGATGAAGAAAACTAAAGTTTTTGATGCTGAAGAATATGTTGAGGGTTCAACGATTGAGAATGACCAGTCAATACCATTGTTGGGGAAAAACCATCATGAAAATCTCGTGGTTTTCGGTTCTTCAGCTGAAAAAGAAGAACCGGGCAGGATTAGATTTCATAATCAGGACCAAGAAGAATCAGGCAACTTTTCGACAATATGAAATCCGGCCGAAGAAGAATCAGAATATGTGGCAATGCTTGAGGAGAAGTTGCTAGGTGGCGAGCTGTAGTTTTCTACAGAACAAGAAGAACTGGGCTGGACTCGTGAGCGCCAACAACTTTGCCTCAATGTTGAATTCTGAATCTGAAATTACTGTGGTTGGGACTGATTGAAAAAAAACTAGAAGAGGCTGATGGTTGGTTAATTTTTGACGGATCCCGGAAGAAGAAGAACAACAATCGCTGCTTGTATTTTGTACCAAGTTTTGAAGGGGAGAATCAAGTGTAACCAGGAAAGGAATTTGATGATTCCTGTTACAATTCTGAATGTGAAATTCCAACAACATTCGATCTATA